GTTCACTTCCGGTATATCAGCGTATTTTTTAAAAACATTTTTGGAAGAAAACATTCACAATACTACCTTATAATTAACGTTGTAATCATTTTATATATATTTTAAAATATTAAAATTTGTAGTTCATTTTTACTGGGTTATACTTGTTTTGAACGTTACCTGGTAGGTGTTCTGTGGTTACCATTAGTAAATGCTGCGATCGCTTCAGTCGCGTCACATGAGTCACGTTTATGGTTCATCATTTTTGCCTTGCTGCGTGACGTTAATTATTTCGTCACAAGTTGCTGCAGCAGAGCACAGTTTCGCCATGAGGAGGGAGCGAATGTTAATCACACCTCTTGCATAAGTCAATGCATGGGGTAGATTTTAGGTCCCGCACATTCCCCTTTATAAGTTACACGCCTACGGTTGCAGGTGGAATGCGGTCGCATTTTAGTGCTCTGCAACATGCCTTTTTTATCTTTACTTCAATGCGTGGTTCATACCAAAACAACTTTTTGTGCCCTTTAGCAGTGCATGCCAAGAACATAAATATCTTGCCGCGATAAAACGCGCACAAAGGATAAATGCATGACATGAGCGTCCGCTTCATAACGGTGCTGTGACATATGTGCCACCTCTCTCTACAAAAAAGAAAAAAAAAACTTTATTTTTATAATGCCTTGTCTACTTCGAGTAAAACGATTCGACTACAGAAATAACAATAATAATAACAAAATTATTGCCCAGTTTTCCACCCAGTATTTATGTTTTCCTTTTCTCTGTAGCATTCTGCCATCAATACATTCTTAACAATCTCTCAATTATATTGCGGACATATGCAGCTTTTGATTGTTCTCCATAAAACTCAAGGCTTCATGTGGGCTCATGCCCAAACTTAAATGTCAATCATTAGATCCTTCATTGTTGCGTTGGTTTTCCCGCACCATGTGCTTGTCCTTTTTCTTTACTGATCTAGCTTTATAAGTACACGCCCTAAGGCAACCTGATTTCGTGTGAAACAGCTAGTTTATAAGGAGCAGGAAATACTAAGTGTGTTGTCCCCTGAGGAAACCAATATTCTAGTATTGAAGTGACCATATTTCACTGACTCCAAAGCAGGACATGCAGGGTAGGCTGGGATGTTGGCGGAATGACGAAAGGAAGAGCACACCACATAGCTGAAGCAGGAAATTCCACTTCCACGAAAACAGGCTCATAAATACCTTTTACGTCAATGTATGCACAATGTGCTTCAGCCATATAGACACGCTATCAAACCCTTTCAAGGTACCTCACTTCTGATCCGTACAGATTGAAGTTGCACTTACAGAATCACTGCCCCTCTTCTGTATGAAAAAAAAAGTCCCCTAAACTTCCCGTGCCATACTGTTTTTTGCTCTTTTCCAAGATCCGAAGCTCGGTGAAGCGTGGTAGGCATCCACATAATGAAATATGCACGCTTAAATGCGCCTGATCCTTACTTCTCACAGTCAGAACGCGCTCCCTTGCTAGATATCATTGACTCGGCGCACCGTCTGGCCAACAGGTTTTTGTACCCTTTAGGGGTATTTCATAAACCACTTCAGCGGCGCACATGGTGAACCTTTGGAGGCTTTTTTTTTTAATACCTGTGCTGCCTTTTTCTTTATACAGCACAGGGCTCAGGGAAATCACAATCAATCTGTACGAATCAGAGGTGCTATATCTTGAGGGTCCAATAGCCTGTCAGACTATGCCTCAAGCACATTGCGTATGCATTGACAAAAGTTTGAGTAACTCAAGGAATAAACAGTGAGTGCCCATCCTGCCTGTGTGTTCTGTCTTTTTTCAGAGTGCTTTTTTTTTTCATTTTCCTGTATTTTTCTTGCTAAGTTGACAATTCAGAAGTGCACCAACTAGCCTAACAGCGAGTACTACTATAGTTATTATGGCTACTTTGAGTTATCCATGTGCACTCAAATCTTATGCAATAGATTCTTGTATTCCTTCTTTGATCAAATTCAACTGCCACAGGTAATAATTTTGGAGGTTTTACGTTCCCAAACAAAATTACGATCATGAGGGATGCCGAAGTGAAGAACTCTGAAAGGTTCTTACCTCCTGTTCTTTAATGTGTACTTAAACCTAGCTACTCAAGCGTTGAGCATTTCGCCTGCATTATAATGTGGCCGGGATTGGATCCCGCAATCAGTCAGCAGCCTATAGCATCATATCTACTGAACCACCATGGTTGGTTAGGTGGTATTGAATTTATAGTTTTAGCAGCAGAGAGTCGCAAACTGTGATTAACTGTGGTGTGCAGCCCAAGAAGAATTATGAGCAGTTTCATTGCCTTCTCTGGAGAATGCATATACAGAGTACATACAATAATGAACTTCACATGTATATTTATACTTATAGTGGCCAAGTATTGTAAACAAAACAACTTCTGTACGTAATGGAGTAAGTTTGCAGTTGGTAGTTTGTATCTAGGGCAAGCAGGAGTGACTTGATGCCATCAGAAGTGCAACAGCCAAAATGGAATTTGGAACAGTTTTTGGAGCAGCAAAATGTTTTTGGAACACTAAAATACAAAGCTGGAGCAGATTAAGCAAAAAAAAAATACATCCATTTCTTATCATGAAAGACTAAATTTGGAACAGTATAAAAGGTGTACATTTAGAAAATGAAATATGTACTATAAACCATTTGACATCCCCTAAATCGTGTACAGTAAACATGATCACTGTTATTTTAATAAAATTGGTATTTTGAACCACCTCACTGAGTAATGATAAAGTCCACATTACCATTTGTTGCTTCTGTCAAATCCATTGACAGACTCTGCAAATTCAAATGGGGACCTGCCAAGCTGGTGACCTTGATGTTCAGGGGATTCGTTAAACCGAGGAATACTGGTAAAATCCCTGGAAATATAACTAAAGTAGCACCATTCGTGTCAGCGTGCGGGCTCCACTTCTTAGTGCAAGCGCCATCTTGTCCATCCTCTTTGGTGCGTTTTCTTTTGCTTCCACCACGACACCCGCTTACCCTCTCCTGTGTGGTGGGAGAGGGTATGCCCGTGTCGGCAGTTTTCTCTGCAGCTGCTGGGAAAGGAGGCAGAGGCAAAGGGGCACAGTTGGCACTACTTTAGTTTTGCACAAGTGCGACAAAAATGTCTCACATTGCTCCAAATGAGTGCCAGTATTTTTTTCAGACATCAGCGATCATATTAGTACTAACAATTATACAGCGTATAGAGGCATGAGCAATTAAAAATGTGCAGTGTCTCACGACTAGTGCCGACAGCCCCTTCCGAATCGCAGTACGCTTTTTCGCAGGCCACCTGTGTACTGCAGTAAAGGTGGCTTAAGTGAAGATGGGAGTCGAATAATGCTACTCTTTTGCAAAACTACATAGGTGTTTTTCATTTTTATTAGCTTTCACTAGTTCTCTACGAAAGAAAACCTGAGAATTGTCAATAAACTCAAATTAGGTTAAAATCTCTTTTAAAGAGAGCAAGGTGGCCACTAAAGACCAAAAGTACTTCATTCTCTACAGCCCCCTGGAAATTGTCACCTGGCTGCTTGCCATTACATTTCGCACGAGTTCACTAAAGGCACATGTGAAAAATAACCATAATTTCCGAGCTCTGATGATGGAAGAAGTCTTTTTACAAACATGGCTTCTCTGCATAGATGAGCTTTCACTTATACCTTTAAAATGTGCTCTTCTCAAGATCCCTGTAAAGGCAACTTCTCAAGTTTAGACATCATGTCTTTGGTACTTCTGATAGCCCGATCGGGACGTAATTTTGCCCACATATTCCTTAACATGTGAAGGGTGCAAATATCTCTTAAGACTTCATATCTACTGGGTAATTATTAGTAACTTAATCATCAGCCAATACTAGTAATTGCTTCCTTTATCTAATCAAAAATTTTCTTGTCCATTGGAATGTCAGATGCACATTTTCTTGTTTTTTGTATTGTACAGTCAATGTGGAACAATATGGGGCATGCATGGCTGAAAACCATGAATATTTAGAGCCATAAGAAGCTTGTCAAAAACGAGCAATACTTTACATATTGTCAAGGCGAAAAACACAAACAACACAACTTGCTATAAAACTAATTACATATTTGAAATCAGCATAAAAGCCTATATATACAGCGAAAGTTTCCTTGCCCTAGACTACAGATCATTGCAACTTTTTTTTTTTTTTTGAATCGCATGTCCCTTTAAGCAGCATTCTGCACAGGTTAGAGCAAGGCCAAAAATTCTTCCAACATGACTATGCTCCCCCCACCCCCTTTTTTTTTCATGATGAGGTTAAGTTTAGGGCACAACTTCTCAACTCGCATACAAGGCATGTTCTATTGCCGGGACGAGGTACCTAACAATTTCGACAGAAAAAAGTTTCACGAGCCGTTGCTATGGTGAACAACGTGGTCGCTGGCAACGCCAGCATTCGCAGCACGTTGACTGTTCGCACGCTGAGAAATGTGGCATGCACTTACAGCTTTAGTCGTTAACATGCCATAGCTATCATAGCCGCATTTGCCGACTTAGGAAGTTCATAGTACTTGTGAAGCGTCTGCAGCTAGGCATTTTTGTCTTGTTGCGTGGTCCCACCGATAGGTATCTGCTGTGGTCAGTGGACAGATTGACGCGAGGTGTAGCTACTTTATCCGGTTGATCACGTCTCACGAGTGCTGACCTAACTGGAATATATCTTGCACCGTAATTTCGGGTTAGGGCCCGAGTATTTAGATTCATTGATAACACAAACTGCAGGTGGAAAACGTAGCCTCTTTCTCGCTGAAATTAGCGCAACAAAAAATTTTAAGGCTGGTCGGGTATTTTGGCGCAGCGTGACGCAATTTCAGCAAATATGATTTTGGCACAGCTCGGCATGAAAATGGGAAATTGTATCAAATTATTACAATTGGCGCAGCTGTTGCACTTCTATGCCATGCAGAATGGGCACACTAACAATCTCATCCGTGAGTAAACCAAGCTTATCAATGTAAGCACAATGACATACCAAAGACTTTATTAGCAAAATGTATCATCAAAGATATATGTATATAATATAAGGCTGTTCGGTCTGAACAGCAACAATTTGTGTAACCTATGCTGTCAAGAATAAAATGTGCAAACCAGTAACCTTCTCAAACATTGCAGCACGACTCGGGACATGAGGCGGCACGGCCTTCCAGAGTGCTTATGTGGCTGGGTGTAAGCCCATTGACAATCTCCGAGTGCTTAACACTCGCGCTTTACTCTCATGTCTGCCCCAATATAGGCAAAATTCAAAATAAAAGAAGCGGGCAACAAACGACAACGGTAAAACCACAGTCCGTCCACCTAAGCAGACCAAATAGAACAGGAACAAGCAAAGGAACACTACCAGCACGTCTTGCCACTGTGCATGCATAAAACTAAAAAACAATGCCACCAGTTGCAAATCAATGAGTATGAACAGTTTGCACACACATGCTGGGAGCGCGCCCAAACTACACACAAACGTAATTTACAAAATGCCAGCAAACACTGCATAAATTAATGAAAATGATGAGCTGCACTATTGAAAGATCCGATAAAAAAAGAATGTAGCACATTGATGAATTAAGGCATGTCATAATGGGGTAGGAAAAAACTTTAGCTGCTTCTTTCACAGCAGTGTTGAAAAAACTGAAGTACTGGTGCACATACCCAGCAAAATAATTAAGTGCACCAGAAACGTTCATATTGTGGAAATGCGCAGCTCACTCCACTCAGCTGTCATCAACAGTTATTCAAACTTCATATTCTGATTGCAAGATTATTGCAGAAGAAAAACTCTGCCATAAAGTCTTTTCACAGCATCTTGCTTATGGATCATTCTGGTTTTTACAGAATATGGCTCTGAAAATTTCCCAAAATAGAAGATGAATTGACATCGGTCAACAGAGGCAATAAAAAGTAGGAGAGGACAGGACACTAAAACAATAAGTGTGAACCAAGATTGTTCGTGCATAGCAAAAAAAAAAACCTAACAAAAAGCAGGAAAGGATACAAGCAGGCACATATTATATGATCATGCAGGTGGGAAGTCCAGAACAAACAAAGTTGTCTTCACTGTATTGCTAAACGCACCACGATAGCTTGTTATCACACATAAATTACCTAGGCATGACTCTTCCTAATGCTATGCACCATATTTTGTATCCTTTTGCGAGCTAGTCCATAATCTTGAACACAGCAATGTTCAGCATGCACAACACACACACGCATCGAGGATGCCGGCTTAGCTTGGAGACTGTCCAGACACTTCTGACAAATGGATATCCACAACCGATGGAGCTCGAGAGCAACTGCAGGCATGGTCGGGCTTCCTTCTGGCAAACCTTTCCCGACAACTTGCTCTTGAAGCTATAAGAGGCCTCTACCAGAAGAATGCAACAGCAGCATGAAGTCGTTTGATGAAGGAGTCGGAGACAATGGTGAATGACAAGTCCACAGTGGTGCACATTGATGCCTTGCGGGTGAAGAGTAAGAAACTAAGAACTCATGAGTCTTTGAAGGTCCCGCTCATACAGAGCAATCACAAACATTGTCGTCACTCCCAGCGATATGCCAAGCAGCTGAATTCCAAGCTGGTGAACGGCCCTCGCATTGCCGTGGTTAGGGTTGACAGACAGCTCCGGAAGCTGCAAACAGTAAATGTGAGAGATAAAAAATAAATGATGGGTAATAGCCCTGCTGCTCAAATGCTACACAGGAATGGCTTTGGCTAAGCTTTGTCTTGAGTTAGAACCTGTACATAATACGAACTGGACAATTACATATTACATGGCTATGAAAACAACTAAAGTAGTCACAGTAGCATAGCTAATGACTATTGAGGTCTTACGGCTACCTTGGCTATCTTGTTTAACCGCCATGGCACCATACAGGTAAAAAAATGCGTGCATGCATGCTCATACCACATGTGTTTCTAGTGTGTTTAAGGGCCCCTAAACTACCTTTAATATCCTAAACTTCCTAAACTACCCTTAATATTTTTCAAACAAGTAAACACGCACATTCGTGCGCAGAATGCTGTTGCAATCAAAATCAACCATTGGCAACGCTACGAGCCACCCATGCCACAAATTTCAAGAAACTATCCCTCCTCCCTGGGACTCCAGGCTTTTTGGACTTGCACGTGATGCGCAGTACGAATATGCTGCAATTGTTCAAGCAAGAGCCTACAACATCCGGCCAGTCTGCAAGCAGCTGTTTGCGCTGCTTGTTGTCATTTGTCGTGTTGCTCGCGTGCACTTGCAAATCAGGTACTGCTTCCCGTAACAGCAGAGTCCATACTGGCACGATTCATATAAGTACAAGCTGGCAAGGCAGCCGCAGTTCGCCAACAAGCATGCAGTTGACGGAGTCGCGGCAGCCAGAAGTAGACGGTGTTTAAGCAGAGTGTCGGCGATGATGTATGCCGAGGGAGACTGGGAAGGGAGTTCGCGACGAAGTGGCCGGCACTGGCTGTGCCCCGACGAATTTTGTGAACAAGGCATTTCGAGAAAACGAAAAACGCGGAAGCAGCTCGTGATAAAATTCAACAATCGACACACCGTGCATTCGTAAACAGCTGACCAAACAACTGGTAAGTGTTTGCGCCATTTCGGGAAGTTTTACCGGTACGGGAAAACGTGTTTTTGCAACCACGAAAGGTATCCACTGGACTGCATACTCGTGAAATGGTCGTCTATAAGACATTGACAAGGCCGTCGCTCCCAAGTTGAAATGTGCAAACTCATAGAAGGACGATGCGATGAGCTGCTGCATGAGACAAGGCATAACGAACCCACGACCATGGATATTTTCCTTCAGAAACAGCTCAGCGAGCAGATTCTTCACGGCACTTTTTGTGAAGCAGGGGTGGCACAAAAAATTACTGCTAGTCGTAAGTCTCAACAAGGTTTCGTCGGTCATTGAGGACTCGCCGCGGCGGTGACGTGTAAGCATACACTGTGCCGTTCAATATTTCCTTTTTGCGGTAAACATACAGTTGCCGACCAATTTTTCGGAGCTGGCAGGGGACCGAAAAAAAGTCAGAAAAATTGAACAGTCCAAAAAATTCGTTTTTTTTTTTTCCATAAATATGAACATTACTGCATCAGGCAGGCTTAGAAGAGTCCATGATTCTGCCTTGCCTCATACTATGCTTGGAAGCAATTTGGTTCACCCATATTTGCCCCGAGGTGACATCGTCACCGTAAATGCTCGACATAAGCGCCACCACAGTGGCAATCTCCGCTGCCGACAGTTGCGAATTATCGTCGTCATCATCCGAACCGCTCTCCGGCTGCGGCACAACCTGGTGAAGAATTTCTTCGTCTGTGGGCTTCGCGCACGAAATTGTCATCGTCTGCACGAGCTAAGTCTTTAAATAGGGAGTTTTAGAATAATGTTTGCAGGCGCTGCGGGTGTTGCGGGTATAGCGGACGCATTACGAGTTCTAAAATAGGGTTTGCTCCCCCTAGAGAAAGGTCTAGGGACATTCGCCCCAACCAGCAAACCGAAATGCACAAAAGCTTCGCGGGATTCGCGGGCCGCGAATCGCCGCATGCTATTTCGGATTTTCTGCGGGCAGGCCGCGAACAGCGGCTCGCGTTATGACGCATGCGCAGTGGCAGATCGCACCACAAGGGGCTCGCGGCGCACTAATCTGAAACTCCCTAATGACGGCAGTGCTGACCACTACAGCTCCTTAAAGACGAGGAAATGGTCCCATGCCGCGTTTTCTACAGCAGACAAGGCCTCTGAAACTTGAAATACGACGTTTGCTTTGCAATCTTGGAGACAGGGAAAGCTATTTTAAAATTAAGCCACTAAGCTTAGTCAAGCCGACAGAAAATCCAACATGGCAGCGTCCATACAGGTTCGTGGCACGGCTTAAAACAAGTGATTTAGTCCGAAAAATCCAACTTTAGGGGTCGAATTCGTCCCAATATCGGTCGAAAATATGCATTAGCCCCATAGAAACCCTGACGGTGCACTTTTGCAGTCCGAAATATCCAACAAGTCCTGAATTTTCGGAGTCCGAAAAATCGGTCGGCGCCTGTAAACGGAATACGTAAAGGGGCAGTCCCCCGACATGTTTAAAAGGAAGCCTTAAAGCACTGATAGGCAATCTTAACCAAGCCTTACGTACGAGAAAAGTTCCACGATAAGTACAAGGTATAAGTTCTTGAAACGTGTTAAGGGCAGACTTATGACTAAGGATGACTTAAGTCATAAGGATAAAGTTAAGTTAGGCTTGTGAATACGGGGCTAACTCCGCTATTGCCGCACTGTTTTAAATAATTCTCGTGGCTACATGTTAGTCATACACTTGTGCAAAATTTCGCTACAACAACTGAATTTCAGCCTCTAGGTCGTTTTGAGGCCCTTTAAGGGCCCCTCACCAGGCTATATATAGTAAATTTTAGTTACGAATTAGCAATCGTTCTGTGCCCAACTGAGAACATTCCAGTACCACAATAATTTTTTTAATTCATTCAGTTACAAGCAGAGGTAAATATTTTGAAGCGGCACGCAGAGCTTACTCTTCCATATAAATCTATTGTATACAGAGATTGCTGTGAGAAAGTGTGTGAGCTCCGTAAATGTTCATAAGCAATTTTGACATTAAAGCCTCATTTCACACGGTGCACGTACTCCAAACACAATTGTGATGTCAGGCTACAGTGCTAACTTCCGCGACGTCAAGCACCACCAGGCTAGTTGCTGATGTCAAACACCAAAACATTCAAAACAGCCATTTTGTGCATCACGAACGGAGCCACAGAATGGAGCAGTCTTGGAAATGTCACGATATCTTGTGAAAGTATATGACAAGAAGCTATACAGTGTTGTAAGATTAAGGTAAAGCAGCAACCGAAACTAGCATTTAAAAAGACTAACTACTTTTTCAGGGTGTACTCTTTCTTACCAGTACATTTGCTATGCTCTTGAGGGCTCAACTTTTCATTCGAAGCAAAAAAACAAACAAACAACCGAAAAGCTTTGCATTAGCACACTTTTAAAGTAATTAGCCACCACTACGGTTGTAATCTGGAAAGTTAAAGCATTAATTTCGGTAGAAAGAGGTGCTCATATGCATACTCACCATGTCAACCAGAGCAATGTAAAGGAACATGCCACCAACACCAGCGAAAATCCACGAAGAGGCCGAGTGGACGTTTCCTAGAGAGATGCCGATGGCCATTCCTAACAGGCACAGCACAGATGACACTATGTTGTAGAACACTGCCTGTTTCACCGACATGCCCGCCTTGAGAAGCACTGCAAAATCACCTGCGGTTTCAAGAGAGTTGGAAACGCCGTGCCTTGTCTCAATATCTACATGGTGATCATCACTTGACTGCTGTCTAGCTGCTGGCCTGCAGGTCTATAGTGCCTTCCTAAATTTAAAGAATCATGTAATAACTGGTGGCGAGAATTTTATTTCAATTTCACAATTATGTTTCTACCAAGATGGCAATTTTACCATATTTCAAGTAAGGACAGCAGTTAATAAAGTCCAGTCGGACCCCAATATAAAGAAGTTGTACTAACGGTGAAAGACAGCTCGCCACAAATTTTGTTAAATGGAGGTTTTGATGTTCAAGCAGTACGAAACACCACAGCTTCCCAAGAATCAAAAAAGAACAACTTTTTAAAGGCTTTTTTTTGTTACACCCAACCAAATGAATCCACAGATAGCTTGTCCATAGCATAGCATAGACGACATTAATTGTTGTCTAAACTGTAGTGTGGTAACTTTGCAAACGTAGTGTGCTAACTTTGCAAACAACTGATAAAGCACCCTTCAATGCTTTCAAAGCCCCCATTTTTCATTCGTGGTCTGTGTAGACTGATGGCTGGGTATATTGCTGGCATAGGTTTAAGCACTGATACTAAATGATTTAGTATTTTAGTCCCTCAATGTCACTGCCTGCTGACTGCACAAGTGCGTTGTGGCGCTTGCCGAAACTAATGCGGACGGAAATGAAGGTAGGGCGAGCAAACCTAACATTGCATAGATGTATCGTATCTATGCGATTCTAAGCACCCCTCTTTTTTTTCTTTCTGCAAGCATGGTGCAGTTGGAGCCGCCAAGCGCGCCCTCTCGTCCGCTAATCTCGGAAGCCGCCATGTGTTATGTTGCTAGGTGCAGACAAGAGATGGCGGCACAAGAGTCAGTGGATAATCCAATCCAATCCGCAAAGCCCGACAGGTTGCGCTGGCTTTGTGGTGGCGGGTGGTGTGCGCACGTTTCTTTGTCACTCGTTTGATAGCCCTGGCATCGGTCAGAATGAGTGCTGCAGCCTCTGGACATCTCGGCGAACAAGCCGTTTAAGGCTCATTTTCGACAGGAGTACGAAGAGTAGGTAGGGCGGGAACCCCGACCGGAAAAAATGTTGATGGGAAAGTTGCAGAAAGCGTCCCCGTCCACCGTGTCAACAAGGATTTCGGACGCCCGGAAACGTATCAAAGTCTACGTTGTCACGAAGCTGTTGAAGTGTTATATCATGAACAATTTGGATGTCACCGAAGACAATCTGCTGCGGTAAACCGAGAGTGACAGCTCAAATGGTGTGATGGACTCGTGTGGCAGTGACAGTGACTGCCCTACTACACGAGTGGTGGGTTCACAGTGTGCACCAATTTTCCTTTTTATTGCTTTTGAATTAAAATGCGATTTCTCACATCAACCTCGTTGATGTGAGAAATCACCTCATAGAATATGTGAGAAGCACCTCACAATATGCTTAAGAATCCTCTCGAAGTTTTTCTTTTTTTCTGCCTTGCTTTGAAGTATTGGAATAATGTTCGAGAATATTAAAAAAAAAATTGTCTATTCAATTCGCACAGAAAATATTGCTATTTGCACAGCTCTTGTTATTAGTAGCACTCACGGTGTGCGTTTCTGTGTGTCTATTCTGTTTTTTCACACTATATCATGATTAGCAAGTGCAAACTAGTCTAACATTAGGTCCTTCTACACTTAACGCTTAAAAAAAAAAAAACATTTGGTTCTCATTACCTGAAACACCCTGCACACAAATGCATTTAATCCACCAATGTGTTCCTTTGTGAAGCATGACAGCAACACCAATGCAATGTGTACCTATGTAGCCAAGACACTGCTGTTCACGACATTGAAGTAATTAACCTAAATTAAGAACTCTGCCACATTTAAACTAGATCCAATTTAAAATGTTTGCACATACCCAGCTCATGTGGAAGTTCGTGGCAGAACACTGCAATGGTTGTGCTAAGGCCACCGGAGAGACCGGATGCAAATGCTGCACCTGGAAAGGGAGGGGACGAACAAAAATTGAGACAGTGATGATATGAGAAAATTATTTCTTCAGAAATTGCATTTCTCTTTGAATGTCACACATAAGGAAAAAAACTGCAAGCAGACTTCTAATTTGACAAACGAGCACTTATGCAACTTATAGGAATGTTTGATAAATATGAAAAATAAGCAATCATTTATATGTCACATAAAGTGGAAGAATCATCCACATCTGCACAAATACGCAATTACAAGGTTTGGACAGCTTCAAAGATTCACCCCTTGTGTCCGACACTGCTGATGTTACAGAAAACAGGAAAAAGAAACAGAGAGAGAATGAAATATAGAAAGAGGGGCATTCTTGTACACGAATAAGTGTTCTTCCTTGGGAAGAAATTCTAATGGGAACTTACATATAGCAACGAGCATATTAATTAATCTTTTGTGCCCACCTATAGCAAGTCCATCAGAAAAGTTGTGAAGCCCATCACCAATGATCACCATCCAAGCCATGGCAGCTATAGAAGACGGCACCTGCACATGGCATGGAGAACAACAGTTTTGTAAAGATGCGAAACAGGCCGTGTAGACAGAATATAGAGAACATGTCGTGCCATGAGCAGTGCGAAATTTAGATGGACTAATGCATTCTCTGAATACTGAGGGCGAAAATGTAGAAAAATGTTTAGCATGCAATTCAGAAAGATTTTTTGCATATTGCTACTAAGTTGCCCTTGTTCAACTGCTGACAATGACATTCTCGTCATCACTACATTCTGAGCATATGTACCAGATAACGAATTTCAGACAAAATCTCACCACTGGTCACCAGTTTCAAACAAGGTGTTTCAGGGTAAACCTATCCAGTGCACAAGGCAGGGCAGGCAGGCAACAAGACTTTGCAGAAAGATCGCCCTCAAATAGACACCAATAAGAAACAATGACTTGGTTTAGATTGACAAACTGCACTCTGGGAATGCCATGCGTATTTCACTATCACTAGTTCAACCTTGATTTTTTTCCACGACAAATGAAGTTTCATTCTTCAAAATTTTGTGCCGAAACCTGCACGCGTGACAGCAAAGAATTAAAATCATTTTTCGTATTTTAACAACAATTGCTCAATTTTCTGAAACTTCATATGCTAGGCCTATGGCATCCACATACAACAATGTACCTCCTTTTTATCGATTATAAGCTACACAAGACCCAGCAGACGCCTTCAAAATCTACGACGTCATGGTGTTCGGTGCGGGAATATTAAGGTGGAGTTTCTATCCACATTTTCTTTTCTAGCATTCTCTCTCTTACAAGGCATCAAGCCGTGAAAAGAGTGGCATTTCGGGATTGGGATACGTATTGTACTTTACAGGTATGCAAAATATTGTTTTTATTTTTAGTGTCCCTTCAATATATTTGTTTGATTACAATACTTACACTAGTGATTCAGTTCAAAATTACACATGTGAACCCCCCAGATTTGCTTTGGTTCTTTTGTAAAAAAAAAAGGAAATGCACTCATTACGTGAGCAAATGCTGGTTACAAAAAGAAATTGGGAAAGTTTTTTTACGTATACTTAACTCTTTGGACATTTTCTGTGCCCGAAGGATTGGCCTTGACTGTAAATGTACATACACACAGTCAGCCACCAAAGATTGTCTTGTTCCGATTAACTGGAGTACAGTATAATGCTATAAAAAACTACAAGGAAAAGATACAAGCTGTACAGAGGATGTCATTGGAGCCCACGATATGTAGCAACTTCATTGCCTACATTGTTGCTGGCAACATTTAGTGTGGATTGCTCCCTTAGTGAGTAAATGTTTATACAATGATTGTGCTAACAAGCTGCTTTTGCTTATTGTATATGAGGATACCGTATTTACTCGCACAATCCTCGTACTTTTTTTTGGCGGAAAACGGATGCAAAGTTGGGGGGTGCGAGAATTACACGGGGAAAACTTTCTACGAAAACTTACAGAGCGAAAAAGAAAATGAAGTGGCCGCAAATCGCGATTCTCACACCAGGAACTAAGAGCAAGCTTTGAGAAGTATTAACTAAAGCTTACCTCAACAATAAACGCACAGGTTCTACACAAGGCAATATTTATTCGAAACACAAAAAGTGCAAGCAAATAGTTGAGAATTAGAATATCATACGCCAAACTTGTGGGCGTTTCGGGCGTAGGCAGTAGCGTTCGTTGCGCAACAGGAGCCGTCGAAAAGGTAAGCGTAGGGACGTCAGTATTGGACCGATAACTCTTCAACAGAATCGTCCTGCAGCTTCCTTCTGAAGAAATAAAGTTTACCATCAATCGCAGTTTTAGGCACACAGGCAGGCCCAACGCGTCTTGGTGGCTTTCAGCTGCCGTAACCAGTAGCGAACACGAAACTAGTATGCTCCGAAAGGCCTACTGACTGCCCTGTTGCCGTTGTTTAGATCATGATCTACCACTTTCAACTTGAAAGCAGCCGTGTAGCTTCAGTATCGCCCCATACCGTGACAAGATTACAGACGCAAACATGCAAAACATGCCGCAATGCACACGTTGCCACTTTGGCTTGGCTTGGATTGGATTGAATCTCCATGCAATAATAGCATGCTCGATGCTTAAGAGATGGCGTGCGCTATCAGCATCAGTGGCTGAAACGAGCCGACGACATTATTGCGGCAGTTTTCGGGATGCGATAATTACTCCAGGAAAAAAAGAAATTGTATTTTTGTTGGGCGATGTGGGAGGTGCGAGAATTATGCGAGTGCGAGGATTACGCGAGTAATACGGTACTAGCTGAATTCGTGCTCACCATGCACCACATTCTGCCAAGAACTTGCATCATCTGCCAAAGAGCCTTGTCAAAAATGTAAATTCGCTTATCTTGAAGTTTTCCTTTGTTTTTACAACTTCGAGTTAATGAGGTATTACTGAAAAAGGAAAGTTATCGCTGCTGCAGAAACCGTTGGCAACTGTAGCGTGGATTCGGCAGTACGAAGTCAACGAGTGAAATATTCGTGGTTGGCGGAAGCAAAAGGAACGCCCTCTTTGCTTGCAGCGGCCAGCGAAAAAGTTTACACGGACCAAAAAATGGAGCGTTTCCCCAACGTGGAACTAGAACTCGCAGACTTTGTGCAAGAGCAGCGAGCTGCACATCTTGCTGTTAACATCGAGTTGCTACAAGCACAGGCAAGGGAGATCGCCCGAGGCAAAAGCCTTCAACCGCAGGATTTCAAAGTGAGCAAGCATTGGGTGTCTCTCTTCATGCATCACGCCGAGTTCTTCCTACGTCGGCGTACGTCGATCTCGCAGTGGCAACAGAAGAACTACGAAGAGGACTGCGAAATTTCAATAGTATGCAATTGCAATGCGAAAGGTTGCCCCTTTCGGCTGGGCCATATCGGCAACGGGGATCAACCGCCGGTCTACCTCGATATGCCCTCGGCACTGCCGATGGATAAGAAAGGCTCCAGGCAAGTCATCGTGCGATCGACTGGGAACGAAAAAACGCAGGTGACTTATGTCGTCTTGCACTGCAGACCATCGCAAGCTACCACCCTACGTGGTGTTCAAACAGAAGACTCTGCCGAAGGGGGAGAAGTTGGCAAAAATGTCATCGTCCGCTGCAAGGACAAAGGGTGGATGGATGGATCACTAGTGCTTGACTGGATGAAGTCCGTGTGGTGTCGACGTCCCGGAGCATTGTTGAGGCTCCCTTCGATGCTTGTGCTCGATGGGTTTCGATGTCACCTGATTGACTCCGTAAAGTGACTGATGAGCGACTCCCGCACCGCGCTCGTCGTCATGGATGACATCGGAGCTGCAGCCGCTTGATGTGTGCCTTAATAAGCCATTTAAGGATGTTAAGCGCCTCTATGTGGAGTGGATGAGGTCCGGAGAAACAGAAGTGACCCCTGCCAGACAGCTGAAACGGGCCTCGCCAGCGATGCTGTGCTTGTGGATAGTCTAGGCTTGGGCCTGCATTCATGAGGCGCTCGCTTGAAGCACATTCAAAAAGTGCTCCATCTCGAACACACTTGATGGCACTGAGGACGATGTGCTGTGGCAGAACATTTCCGACAAGGGAGCCTCGGAAGAGAGTGTGTCCAACCACGACGATGAATGAAGTGTGTCAATAAACTCATTTTTTCGTTTTACTCGGGCTGTATCAGGGTGTAAACTTTTTTTTTCTCGCGTTTGCTATTCTCAAATTACATACTGGACTATATGCGGGTTCAAGCTATATGCGAGTTCTTACGGTACTACCGTTTTACTCACATAATGAACCCACCCCCCACTTTAATCTCGTCAACAAGCGCTTGACAAGGACCAAACATTTCGCTGTAAGAATGAGGTTGGTGAGCACATTCCACAGGCGATTGTCATTCGGTGTGAACGTCATTCGCTATGTCCGTGTAGTAGCAGCAGCAACAAAAATGACATTAACACCTCATATCATTTGCAGGGCATGACATTACAGGTGCCGTGTGACAAGAGTATTGAATATTAAAGGTTCACGGTTACTGCTTAAAAAATTAAGTTTGGCTGAGCAGCAATATCAATATCCATAATGAAATTTTCAAGAAAGTTCAAGTTTATGACCTAAAACCAGTGACACAAGTGTATGTCTATATGGCAGAGTGAGCAATGTTAAGCTTGACGTCAAAAAGAAAAGGGGGGGGGGGGGGGGAGGGGTGACTGCTATTGGTTGGAACATTTATGCTAATTCTATGTGGGAGAGAAAGCAATGACGGTGGGCGGGGCGGTCATTTTTTCGAGCTTGTGACAGAGACTATATTGGCTCTTGACTCACCTCATGGCTATGAGCGTGACTGTGGCGGTGGTGGTGGTGATCGGCGACTGTTAGCATAAAGGTGTGCTCTTCACCAGCCTGGCGATAGACCAAGGTTTCTGTGTGGCACTTCTCCGTGCGTTGGTCCCCAGAGCTGTGGCAAATAGGATGCCTGAAAGAGTGGGACCACACCGATCAAAGCACCACTTTATGCTACTCATACCATGGAAACCACACAGAAAAAGAAATCCTGAATAGAGGTGTTCAGAATCTGCTGCTATCATTGATCAAATTAATATACAGTCCTCGTAAACACAGAACATTTATAGAGTAAAACAACATTACAACAAAGCTACACCTCGCACGAATAAGACTTCGCTGTGTACAAATATTCCATCATTAATATGCACTTGTAATCATGTACAGGTGGAAACACAATAGACCCTCTTCATAATTCACAAGTGCACTTACCTGAACTGCATATTCACCTAATAAATGGCCGCAGCTGTCATGCTTCGAGTGGAGATGCGATCCTAGTTGCGCATGCTGGGGCTTGTGTGTTACAATTGTTTACCGTATTTACTTGAATGTAATTCACATTTTCTTCCCTAACATTTTTGTTACCTCAAGTAGATGCTAAAAGTTAAAATTGAAGATCGAAATTTAGGTTGTCTAAAAAGTTCAATAATGCACACAATGGTTTTATATTTATATTTCACTTCCTGTAGAGTCGCCCTTGCATTACAACTGAGCAAGTACCGTATTTACTCGCGTAATGAACCCACCCTTTTTCCAGAAAAGTTGATACCAATTTGGGGGGAGGGTTCATTTACGCGGAGAAAAAAGTCACAGGAATTATAACAGCAAAAATTTCGCGTGATGGCTTTGCTTGTTCTGGCCCGCGAAATGCGCGAGAAATCTTTTTTGTAGCCCGAAGCTCTTTTTGTTTTTTCCCGTAACCAAAACGCACGAATCGACGCTGAAGTATCGTCCAGCCGCTCGGTTCCAACGCTCCAGCGCATGCTGTTAGTAACCAGCTGTGTAGCTAGTGTACCGGTCGAACGCACCCTGCATGGCAGGTGTCCCAACTAAGTTCTCAACGACAAATGAAACAACAAAAACGCAGCGTTGGATGGCGGAACACAAACATTGCAGTAGATGTTGCAGGTGCACAACGCGCCATCGACGCGGTGGGTGCAGTTGCGCATTGCCCAAGACCGAGACGATGAGCGCGCCGCGTTTCTGCGCCGAGCGCGCCCCGTTTTGGACGCCATGTTCTTTGTTTTTGTGCCTCTGTGCTTTCGTAGCGCTATCAGCAAAAAGGTTTCTCCTTCATTAGAAAAATGGCACTTTGTCATAAAAGGCGCGACTTAAATTTCACCTTACGTCATCCGTGCTGCTCGCGACTGTTTGGCATGATTGCAAAACTATGTTTCAACTTTTACTGTGCTGTTATTTTGTTATATATTGGTTTGATTTAACATTGTTTTGATGGTTAACGGCACTGAATATCATACCAAAATAAAATGAGCAAATAGATCAAAGTTTTTTTATTTATTTTTTTCAAGGACCAAGATTCATTATGTGGCGGATTGAGTAGGTTCATTATGCAAGTAAGTATGGTACGTACTAGAGTATAACAGGAGAACCAGGTCAATTTTTTATGTCATTACACAAGCAAACAGCGATTGAACAAGTTTTTTCGCAGAAGTGACTAGTTGCCATTAGTTCGACTACAGACATTGCAGGAAAGCTAGCTCCGCAATTATGAAACAAGTGTATTTATCATTCACTTTGTTACAATTCTTCATATCCATATTCATTATATGGAAGTCTGACTGCATTGACATTTTGCCCAAAGACAGTCATACCGAGTTTGTCCTTCAAAAGAACTGAAATACACACTCAAAGAACATACACTAATCAAAAGCAGGCTGCCGCATCATGACAAGAACTCATTCATGAATTGCAGCCTCAAAGTAGTTTTTCTTTTTTCCACTTTAGGCCTTGCTAACATTTTGCCAACACAATTCCTGCTAAAACTTTATACTGATGCTTTCTGCTTAATTCCATGTCTCACACGACTTTCCAATCTAGTTGATAACAACAGTAGAGTATCACTTCAATTATAAAAAAAGAGCAGCAGGGAATGCATCGAAATGAAATTGTGGCCGTGCACATTTAGACACCATGGGACAGGAGGGACAAATACCACGGCGTGGGAGTGGGCTAGTTGGTATTCCATGTCTTTACCAGCTGTAGTTACTTTTTCTGCACTACAGCTGGCAAAAACAAATACCATAATCTTGAATTTCGATTCAAGATCGAGCACGGCAACTCTTCCAAATCTTGTGTCGTGTCGTCTTTTTACAACAGTTCATGTCTCACCATATTCTTGCTCCTTTAGGGAACACACCTATTTGTAAGATACGGCAAACACACGTGCATAGGGAAGACAGGACTAAAGTTGTCAAGTGCATAGCACTTAAGGGGATTGGTATGTTGTTGTCCATCATGCATCTCCTGTGGTGCGACTATGCTCACTGACACAATACAGGTCATAACAGGGCTCAATACCAGGTATGAAATAGCATAATTAAAGATAAATTACCAAAAAAATTGCCCGCAGCTTCCCTCGGGGGAACACTGAGGAGGATGCGGAGCATATAATTGGTTAACGGGGTGTTAAAATGCGACTTACTTGGGTCGATGGCTAAATTGGTTAACGTGGTTGTGAAATGGGGTGTTAAATTGCGACTTACTTGGGTCGATGGCTAAATTGGTTAACGTGGTTGTAGGAGGGGGTGTTAAATGAGTGAACACGTACACACGTATGCGAAAGGGCGGCGCTGGTCGAAGGGACGTCGATCATTGTGTTTGTGGATTCGTTGGAATTCATTTCACCGCGACCTTGGACGTCGACGCGCCCTACAAACCAACCGACGAGCGGCAACTGAGCGAGCGAGCGCCGACCTTGAGTATATATACAGCGCGACGGCGCATTCACTGTCAGCTGTTGAATGTTCTCGAAGCGCGACGCCACATGCGCGTCCACTGGAGAATCAGGAGAATTGTAGATGTCGAACGCGGTGTGTAGAGGAGGAAGGGTGCACAGATGGTGGAGGAGTGAAGCGCGCGCGGTGTGTAGAGGAGGAAGGGATGCACAGATGGTGGAAGAGTGGGCGACGGCGCGACGGCGCATGCGCGCGCGTCAGCTGTCGAATGTTTGAGAAGCGGTGCGGACGGCGCACTACAAGGCGCGAGTATAAGATGCTTCCGCATCTAAAAGTAATCGCAATGACTTACTAAAAATAGCTATAAACGTTTAGAAAATGTGCGTGGCCTTGGAGGCAGCCTCCACGGCCACGCATGAAAGGGTGCCACTGCCTCACCAGGACGAACGCTTTTCTTGCGCTTCACCTGCGCTGCGTTCCCGAATCTGACGGGGGACACAACCTGATGGAACTCTCCGCAGACGGCGGTTATCTCGAGCGTCGTTGAAAGCAGGAGGTCGAAGCACAGCAAACAGTAACACAAATATCGCACATCGACTTACTTTGCCAATCTCCCGAACAAGATTCAACAAGTGCCGGAGAAACCCTACATGCTTACTTCAAATGCTGGTGTCATCAACACTTTGGTGAATGGAGCAGTGTGAACTCTACGAAGGTGAATTGCTGCGTCACACACTTCCTCAAGTTTCTCAGCGATAGAGCTGACATACGTTTTCTTTAATCGAAAGTTCCGATTTCCTAGCCCTGTCAGCAACATAGCAGCCACCTCTGCTGATATGCTCGACTGATTTGCGAATACAGCCGCCGACCAATTTTTCGGACCTGGCCGGAACCGGAAAAAAGTCCGAAAAGTTTAACGGTCCGAAAAATTCGCTTTTCTCAGAAATATGAACATTATTGCATCAGGCAGGCTTAAAGTCCATGATTCTGCCTTGCCTCATACTACGCTTGGAAGCAATTTGGTTCACCCATATTTGCGCCAAGATGACATCGTCACCATAAATGCTCGACAAAAGCGCGACTGTGGTGGCGATCTCCGCTGCCAACAGCTGTGGGCGATCGTCATCACCTGAACCGCTCTCCGGCTGCGGCACAACTTGGCGAAGGATTTTTTCGTTTGTGGGCTCCGCGCACGAAATAGTCATCGTCCGCACGAGCGAAGTCTTTAAATTGGGAGTTTTAAAATGACATTTGCAGGCGCTGCGGGTGTATTTACGAGTTCGAGGATAGCGTTTGATCCCTCTAGGGAAAGGCAAGGGACATTCACCCGAACTGCAAACTCAAATGCACGGAAGCTATGCACACTTTGCGGGCCTCGGGGGCGGCGATCGCCGCACGCTATTTCGGATTTTCTGCAGGCAGGCCGCGAACGGCTACTCGCGTTATGACGCATGCGCAGTGGCAGCGACCGCACCGCAAGGGCTCGCTGGTGCGCTATTCTAAAGCTCCCTATGTCAGTGTGGCAGGCGCATTCACTCCACTACTGCGCAGCTCCGTCTCCTTCCTGTACGGTGCGATGACTACAGTGCTGACCACTACGGCTGACCGAAGACGAGAAAATGGTCCCGTGCCGCGTTTTCTAAAGCAGACACGGCCTCCGAAACTTGAAATATGACGTTGGCTTTTCAATTTTGGAGGCAGGAAAGCCATTTAAAAATTAAGCCACTAAGCTCAGTCAAACCAGCAGAAAATCCAACATGGCAGTGTCCATACAGGTTCGTGGCGTGCCTCAAATCAAGCGATTTAGTCCAAAAAAATCCAACTTTGGGGGGCGAATTCATCCGAAAAATCGGTCGAAAAATGCATTAGCCCTATTGGAGCCCCGACGGTGCACTTTTGAAGTGCGAATTTTTGGAGCCCGAAAAGTCTGTCGACGACTATGTAATCGCGCACCTGTCTGCGGTGTACAGAAAAGAACATCAAGTGTAGTTGCAAGTAACGCTAATTCCTGTACCCCTCGTTTCTTTGCCTTGCGCTATTATCTTTTGCACAGTAGATTAACCAATGAGCCCACACAACACGTTTCATTATGAAACTTTTCCACTTGCCTGTGATTGTTCTCCTCGTCCTGTGGCAAAGGAGATGGCGGACACCTTGGGTTGGTGGGCAGCTTGGATCCACCGTTCTTGACTATGACCAAGAGGTCCTTTTCGGGCTGTGCCTCCATGCCAGCCTTGGGACGCAGCTCAGAGTCGCGAATGTCCATGATCTCCATGTAACTCTCGCCCAGGGGGGACAGCTCCAGTTCTTCAGCTGGAACTGCTGTTAGCCCTGCCACAAGTGCATTCAACAATGTGCTCAGCAAAAGAGGTGAACTAACCTGTCTGCTTACATCCATGTAAAAACGACCAATTACACTGCGTGATTGAAGTTATTAGTTAATTATTTTAACGTACTGTTTCCGTTCAACACTCAACTACTCAAGGTCATCGACAAATGTGCTATTGTAGGATGTTATTATAACTAAAATAACTTTATTTGCTGTAAGATGCAAACAAGCCCAAAAAATGAGACGAGCGACTGGAAAATTGTAAAATGACTTGGTGAAAAACGAAGCCCAAATCCGGTTATAAAAGTGGAACCCGTAACTCTTCCATTCAGTATTTGACTTAAACTATGTCACCATCCAAAGCTTATTAACGAACAGATGAAATTGACATACGTGCATATATTGGTTCAAAAGGCAGTATGAGCTACCTGACAATGTCATGAAATCGTACGTATCTCACTAAACATCTTTCATGCTACATATTTACAGTAAAGTCGATGCTGTGCAAGATTTAACTAGTCTCTCTAAGGTATGCAGTCAATTAGACTGGAAAAAAAAAAAAAAAGATAGCCTCTCCATCGAATTACTCAAAGAACTCCTGCGTTGCCTGACTGTGCACTTAATTAAAAAGGTAAAGAAGTATTAATCGCATGGGAGACCAATGATAGTACGTGTAGAAGCTGGAGGCATGTTCCAAGCTGCATTTCTAAATAAGGAGGAAAAAATGGGCAAAGGCGGGGCATCAGGGCATGTGGCAGGATAATCTGTGGTCATTAAGAGTAACAGACTCCATTCCGAGATAAGGCAAGAGGCAAAAGGAGGCAGGAAGTTACTCTTACTTGAAAACACGAAGACACAGAGGAAGTACAGTGAACTTCCTTTAGAACTCTGTTCAGATGTTCAGACAAATGCTTGCTTAAGACCAACAACACGGAAGTGTTTGTTTGGTTTCCCATAGACTCAATGCAAAAAAAAAAAAAAAAAAAATCTGCTTAGGACGAACTGCGTAACAGGTCTTTTCTGTTAAGAGGAACTCTCACAACGACCAACGACGACTGGAATTCTGCACAACGAACATTATAGTCTTGATGGGGGCATTCAGAGGAATAAGTGAAAGCAATAAAAAATCTTTCTGGTGCAAAGACTCAAAGCATATTGAAAGCTATTTGCAACGTGGACTGAGAAAGCGAGACGAGAAAGGTCGGCACATAAAGCTGGCATCTCCCTTACGCCCAGCATGTAGGTTCAGAAAGGGCCGGCTTTATTCACAAGGAAAGCAACAAAAAGCATTCGTCCTTTCAGATTCTCGCATTCTCTCGTTTCCCCTGCAGGAATACAGTAGAGAACAGAAGTAACACAAGAGTTTGGCTAGAGAGGAAAATGCAAGAGAAGGGAGGTGAAAAAAAAAGCCAAATGAAAGTGAAAACGGGAAAGAAGATTATTTGTACATTATATTCGCATGAAATGGAAACCACATATGTGGCACTATCACTCCCAACAGAGGAGTCGAACAGTGCACTTGACTCCTCCCAACAGAGGAGTCAAATGCACTGTTATTGTCGTCACACAATGGAGCCCGAGTACCTGTGCTCAGTATGCGCCGTTTTGCAGAGTCTGTGTGCATCGTAACTGTTCCCAGTGAAATGCAGCAATTTGTGATGCACTATTTTCATTATTAATGTGCCCGACAAAGAAAGGTCACTATGCACACTAAATATAGCTACGTTGTGTCGTTTTTGTTTGCCCGCGGCTTGTGATCATGAGTAGTGTGAACGGAAATCTTCAGCTGCCCGTCGTTCAGGAAAAGTTACTGCGGGCCGAAAATAAGAAAACATCGAACCTCAAAGAAAAGCTTGTCGACTTTCACAAGCAACTGGGCTTATACAGTAAAAGCTCGTTAATTCATCACCCATTGATTCAGAAATTAAGATAATTCAGACAGCTCTACTGGTCCCGGCCAAAGTGTCCCGGCCAAAGTGCATGTTAATCTACGAGACCAAACCTTCGTTAAATAGTCAGAATTCCGCTCCGCACCACTTCATTCGGCCAAATTCTGACGGCTGGTGCAGCACAAAAGTGTGTGGTAAAGCAGCTTTGGCACCACTGGAGTGAAACCAAAACCTGAGTGGCGTCGCCATCATCAACTAAAGAGGGCAACCACAGCAGCATCACCGAACATCGGCGTAGTCTTGTTCTCTACTGCGCCTCCGACACCATTTTCCCTTGTGTTGTGTCGGCACCATCTCTTCTTGCGGAATTCTCTTTTCTTTTTCTTCCTTTGTGACCGTATTTGCATGCCACCACCATCATGCACTACAGTGGCAATGCCAAAAATGTGGCAGAAGTTGTGGGGATCTGAGGCGCGCCCGCGACCATTTTCGCGGGCATTCCGCCACACGGCCACACCCTTTCGCTTTCCTGCTCTGTTAACACCACGTGGCGATAGATGGCGCCACGTGCGGGCACGGCGCGCGCCACTGTGCGCGCCGAGGGAGCGGTCTCTTCTCCGTTGGTCGGCGCCGGGTAAGCACGTGTTTTCCTTCGTCCGCGTCCCCTTTGGGAATCGCCGGACTGCAGCCTGCCTGGGGTGGCCTTGGGCACCTCGGCAGGCGTGTTTACTTGAGTGCTAGCTTCGGTAGCGTACGCTAAGCCCACAGCGGTGCCTAGTGCTTGAAGTGGTCGTACCACAACGAGCCGCACTTGCCGTAGGCCCAGCGCGTACGAGGTTTGCCCTAACACTCGCGACCAGGCCCAGTGGCCATCGTGAGAGTGCGCAGCATAGCCGCGAGGGACCTTTTCCCGACCGGCGTGTCAAAGCTCGCCATTGCCTGCTGCGACGTGCTCGCGGTTTTCCCCTTATTGTGAACGTCCGCGTGCGGGTGCCTTTGCTACCCGCGTCCCGGGAGCGGACGTTGTGCTGTTGTTCGGGGTGCCGCCAGAGGCAATAAAGTGTTGTGTACTGTTACATTAGAACACTGTCTATTTGCCGCGCCGCGCTAAACGCCTTATCAGTTGAGCGCGCGCGGAGCGGTGCGCTACACGCGAGTAAACGGAGTAGCGGCCCTGTGGCTCGCTAAGCGTGAACCCGCGGTGATCGTCCGCTGCAGTTAGGAGCGGGGTCACCATAAAGTACGAAGCCAAGAACTTTGCGAATAAAGTGACAATTTTAGAAGCACTGAAAAACGGCGAATCACGACAGCACATCGTGCATGCAGATGCAGCCGCGACCTCATTGCGCCTCACGGAAAGTCTCAGAGGCGCTTTTAATGTTAGAGGATGTTTGCCTGAACATTCCCAACAGCTTGCGTGCTGTCGGCAATTTGGAACGGTAACGCAAGATTGTAATGTCGGCCGGAATCTGCTCGAGAACGCAGAAGACAATCGCAAAATACTTCAGCAAACAAAAGCATGCTTCTACAGCTTGATTTTAATGTTTTTCATGTTCAATTTGTTAATTCGGCATTTGGTTGATTCATACATATTTTACGGTCCCGTGAAATCTGAATTAACGAACTTTTACTGTATTGGCTTTGTCAAGGTAGTGGTATGCAATGGAGGCATATCCAAAAGTGATAGCAATGCCAGTAAAACAGCCTCTCAAAAAGGTGAACAGCCAGAACAGTCAAAATAGCATCATGCTACAATTTATTGTTAAAATGTCGTATCAACTTATTCATGAGCATACTAAGTTTGAACTCGTGGAATCGAGTACTCTCTAGATTAGATTAAATACTCTAGTTGAAAGCACATTTCTGATCATGCTGACCCAATAAATGCTCTTTCTTGCCCCTTTCCTCCCCATTGTAAGCACAGTACTCTCTCAGTAAACGGAACCTGAAGAGACCGGGAAAATATATTCCATTTAACAGGAGTTTCATTTACCGAGAGGTGAACATGGGTGCAGAATACAAGGCCGTAGCCAAGTATTGCAGAGGAAATAGTACCATTTAAGCAGTATTTCCATTCAAAAAGATTTCCGTTTACTGAGAGTCCACTGTATTTACTTAATTCAGTGTTTTCAAGCAACATATTTAGGCATACTTAGCATGTTAGCATTTGGTTTTGGGGGGCATTTCGGATAAGACGAACTCCTGGTAAGACGAACAAATGATTGTGATTCCTTGCATTTCATATTAAAGGTAGTCTACTGTAGCAAGGGAGCAGACTCGCAACTGCCACCTAGAGGGCCACTACGCCTGCCTGCTCTTTTGAGAAGGGGAAACACAGAGGAAAGAAAGATAGGAGGAAGTAAAGAGGAAAGAAAAAAATTACACCATCTCAAGCTCAAGGGAACTAGGTGTGGATGCGAAGCAGCGGAAAGATGGTTCGCTGGAGCGCTAACACTGACGACAGAAGAGAAACCAGGGGAGGCTCAAAGCACGCAGTGATCGACTGGTGTTTTCTGCTGAAACATGCTAATCGTTGCTATAGGGCAGCGAGAGGCAGAATCCTCCGATCGGAAACAGGGACCCGCAGCCCGCTTTTAGATGACGCGCATGCTGTGAATTTTTATTTGTGACCACCAGCACTATCTTGGTGGTCAAGATCCAGTGCCGATAGTATATGCAGGGTGGCCAGTGAACGGTTGCCCAGCACTAGCAGTCTGTTTTTTCAATCAGGAAGCTTGCTAGCAGACACTGCCTGCGTCGGCATTGGAAGGCGAGAGAGGAGTACGTAGGAGATGAGAGAGAGGGGGGCAGGGGATGTGTATGGGCAATGTGGGTGAAAATGCCACAGGACTAAGGGACGCAAATGCTTTGCATCTAAAACACAAACAAGTAGTCTCATTAAAAAACATCTACTAAGAACGCAGAGCTGAATCGTTTTTGTTAGGTGGGCATCTGGGATTACAAAGTTATGGGGTAACAAGCACAGGACCAAGTTGACTGGAAAAACATGGGAAAGGCCTTTGCCCTGCTGTGACGGTGGTTAGGCTGACAATGATGACATACCAAGCAATTGGAAGAGCCAGCACAGTAGTGCATTTTTAGTGCATGTTTGATGCAGACCCTAGCCCCATCCATATATGTACTCACGTTCAAGGGCTTCCATTCCAGAGGGGTCCACATAGCCGTAGGAGCCCTGCTTGTGTTGAGACAGCTTCTCTCCCACAACTTTGCTCGGGTCATCTTGAGAGGAGCGCTGAAGTCTCTTTGGCGTTGGGTTTGACTTGCATCAAAAATAACAGAAACAACTGAAGCAAACAGAGAGTGTGAAGAAAAAAAAATCGAAGGTTATAGTTGGAAAAACAAATGGCAACCTATCATTCTGCTAGACGGCTATTATATGGTACTTCACCTGCATAAAGTTTGTGCCATGCAACACTAGAGCGATATAATATGTGAAGAAAAGCAAGTTGTCCCAAATGACCTAATTAACAGCAACACGATTTAGAGGGGTCGTGAAATGCTTCCCGAATATTTTCAACTATGTGTGTATTGAGAACCTTGGCTATTTATTTATTACTATACCTTGACTCTATTCATTGTCCAAGTTTATTTAATAGCCATAAGAACAATCTAGATTCCTCGCTCCCGTTCAGATCAACTTTTTAATCCAGCCAATATCTTTGTCAAGACAAAACCTGGCATGTGACACGGTAAGGGGTGTAACCGGAAACGTTTTTTCGGGGAGGGAGGGGGGGCCACTTATATTGTATATATGTTTGCATATGCATTGTGTGTGTGTGTGTGTGTGTGTGTGTGTGTGTGTGTGTGTGTGTGTGTGCGCGTGCACGCGAGCACACGCATGTACGCAAGCAAAATTGAACATTTTCGGGGGTGGAGGGGTTTCCAAAGAATTGCCATATACACCTGAACCACAGCAAAGTTTACAAAAGCCTTCTTACCCTGTGAAGGAGAAGAGATTAGAAATAGTCACCCTTTAGCTTGACAAAGCACAAATGCCACTGTGCCCACTGACGTAACCTCCAATGCAACCAATGTCAGTGAAAAACGGAGACAAATTGCTTCAAGAGAAAGACAAAGGAACAAATGCCAACTGCACACCTGTATGCTGTTGTTAGATCGTGGACTGTGCTTGCGATGCTTGTGGTTAGAGTGTATGGAGAGGAAGCGTTCCACGATCAGGAACAGGTAAATGCCTCCCAGCGCAGCGAGGCCGTGCCATACGTAGTTCTCTCCGTCACCACCTTCCTCCGAGTGATCGTGGTGGTGGCCAGACATGGCCTGCATACATAAGAAATGGGGCACTCGATGCTGTACCTCCTATCGTAGGAGACTCTTTCGTTACTGCCAAACATTTTAAGAAGCAATGCTCTGAGTGAAGAAAACTTTCAGTGGCCTAAATGTATCGCCCGACTTTCCCCACTACTCCAATGTTGCATTTAGGTATGCCAAGGAGCCTCAGTAGTGATCAAAATTATCAATGCTAAGTTCCTGCTGTGTGCTTCTTCCTTTTTCCATATACACGCTCCCAGTTCACTGAGCGAATATTGATTACCAACTAGTCCACCTATTGATCCTTCTATAATCTCTTCCGGTGTATTACTGAAGCTTAGTGGCTGTTGTTTCAACTGAGCAAACAACAAAAAAACAGGGTCCGAGCGTGTTGGCTGACCATTGCTGAGCAGAACACAAAACGCAGAAGCGAACAAAGAACAAGTGATAGGATGAATGCTATACTGGTCAGCCATCAATGAGCTAAACAAGTGGTGTGGGCAGAACTTCAGTGCTATGCATTCTGCTTAGCGAGGAACAGCAAGGGAACCTTCAACTGCAGACTGTTCATCATTTATATTGCTACGTAGCTGACGTATCAGCGGTGAAAAGACGACAACGAGGAAGTGGTCTGTCGGTTGCGCGTGCTGCTTTCATCTTAGTCGACGCCATACGCATCATTTTGAATATAGATTTTAAATAGACACACCTCGTGTCATTTTTACGTAACATCTTTGTGGTTGAGGTGCTGGGTACTTTCCCGTCTTCATCACGAAGCTCCGCAACGGCCGCATCATCATAGGTCCGACCATGTCACAAGTTCAACAACCATCGTCTTCGCCACCTGCCCCTACCGCGACTTCTACATACGTCGTTCTACCTCCTGCTCGTGATCCCGGTGTCTTTTCCGGTCAGGATGGCGTTGACGTCGACAAATGGATAAACCGGTACGAACGGGTCAGCGCAAGCTATAGGTGGGACCCGACTCTTATGCTTGCCAATGTGCTTTTTTACCTCGATGGCCCACCGCGCGTGTGGTTCGAGACGCACGAAGCGGAGATTACGAGCTGGGACTCCTTTAAAGAAAAGATCCGTGACCTTTTTGGTGACACCATTGGGCGGCAGATCGCAGCGCGGAATCAACTAGCGGCCCGTGCGCAGACGTCGACGGAGTCATACGTCGCGTACATTCACGACGTCATTGCCCTATGCCGCCAGATTGACGAGCACATGAGTGAGTCGGAGAAAGTGGCTTATGTGCTGAAAGGCATAGCAGACGACGCATTTAATCTTCTAGTTTACAACAACGTTGCCACCGTCGACGCCATCATTAAAGAGTGCCGGCGGTTCGAAGAAGCCAAAAGCCGCCGTATCACTCAGCGATTCACCCGGCTGCCCAACACGGCCGCGACCTCATCGTGTGAAGCCGCCCGCCAGTCCCCCACGTATGACAACGTCACACGTATTGTTCGTCGGGAAATCGAAGCCGCCTGTCCGGCTCCTCTTCAGCCACCCGTTTTCGCAACGCTCGCCTCTGACCAACAACAGCCGTCAGTGGCGTTAATACAAGCTGTGGTGAGGCAGGAGTTTGCGAACCTCGGACTTCCCTCAGCATGTCCCCTGACTCGCCCTGAAGTCCCGTCCTACTCCCGAGGACACGCTCGCCGTTCACCTCCAACAATGCCCTTCCGTAACCCTTCGGAATGGCGAACACCCGACGACCGACCTATTTGTTTTTCCTGCCACCAGCCTGGGCACGTTTCTCGCTATTGCCGCCGCCGTTGGTCAAACCAACCACGTCAGACTTTCTCTACCTCGGCGCTCATGCATCCGACGAGCCCTCGACGTTCAGACGCCACACCCTTCAATTTCTATTCGTCGTCATCTTACGAGCCTTCCACTGACGCCCCTTTGCCCGGTCGCCGTAGCTCTCGCTCCCCGTCGCCGCTACGTCGCCAATCCCGCTCTCCGCCACCTCGGCGCTTTTCTTCGCCGAGCTTCTCTGGACGACCGCAGCAGGAAAACTAGATATTGCAGCTTATAGAGGTGATGCTGCAATACCAATGACGACCGAAAATCCTCTACTGACGCTTCCCACGCACCATAGCCTGCTTGAAGTACAAGTCGACCATGTTCCTGTGACCGCCCTCATTGACACAGGTGCGCACCTGTCTATTATGAGCGCTTCTCTACGCTGCCGCTTACAAAAGATTATGACGCCATCTACGACGCAGGCAATACGTGTTGCCGATGGCGGTACTGTTCCAGTAATCGGAATGTGCACTGCTCGTGTCAGCATTGCCGGTCGTCCCGCCGTGGTCCTTTTTGCCGTGCTAGCCTGCTGCCCTCATGACCTCATACTTGGCCTTGATTTCCTTTCGGCACACTCGGCCTTAATTGATTGTTCGTCTGGTACCCTCAGCCTTGATCTACCAATCTTTGCCGACTACTCTGCAAAGCCCACCAGCCGCTTGAGCCCAACCACTTTCGTTCGCCTGCCACCTCGAGCCGTCACGTACGTGTCTTTGTCATCGACCCCTCCCGTTCCTGACGGTGATTATATCGTTACGCCAATTACTGACGTTCGGCTGACGCGCAGTGTTACTGTGCCCTATACCATCGCGACCATAGCGGATAACTGTGTGTTACTTCCGCTCCTTAACTTTGGTTTCACCCCTCAAGTGTTGCCCTGCCAGATGTCTCTAGCCGAGCTAACTGCCATAACAGAGGACGATGTCAGTGTTGTCGCTGTATCTGCTCCTGATCGAAGCGCAGTCTCACGGTCACCCAGCTCAGACGATGGTATGTTTCGAAACATGATTGGATCGGAGCTGTCGCCTCGCCAGGCGGACTCTCTCTGCCAAGTTTTGGCCTCATACAGTGACATTTTTGACACCGACGATCGTCCCTTGGGCCAGACTAAAATTGTCACTCACCGAATCAACACTGGTGACTCTGCGCCCATTCACCGTCGGCCGTACCGCGTGTCAGCATCTGAGCGAGAAGTGATTCAGAAAGAAGTGGCCAAAATGCTTACGAAAAACGTAATCGAACCATCAACGAGCCCTTGGGCATCTCCCGTGGTATTAGTAAAAAAGAAAAACGGCTCATGGCGTTTTTGCGTTGATTATCGCCACCTCAACAAAATTACCAAAAAAGACGTGTACCCTCTACCACGCATTGACGATGCCCTTGATTGCCTCCATGGCGCCACCTTCTTTTCATCTCTCGACCTCCGATCTGGCTACTGGCAAATTGCCGTATATGACATGGACCGAGAAAAGACCGCCTTCGTTACCCCTGACGGCCTTTACCAATTCAAGGTCATGCCGTTCGGGCTCTGCAACGCTCCAGCGACCTTCGAGAGAATGATGGACACGCTCCTACAAGGATTTAAATGGTCGACATGTTTGTGTTACCTGGACGACGTGATCATTTTCTCACCTACCTTTGCAACCCACCTTGAACGCCTTTCGACCATTCTATCCATATTTCGACGGGCCGGCCTGCAGCTCAATTCCTCCAAGTGCCACTTCGGTCTTCGTCAGATTACCGTATTGGGTCACCTTGTTGACGCTGCCGGCGTACGGCCAGACCCGGCGAAAGTACGCGCTGTAACAAACTTCCCAGTCCCACGCTCTGTCCATGATGTTCGCAGTTTTGTGGGCCTCTGCTCCTACTTTCGCCGGTTCGTGAAAAACTTTGCGGCACTCGCACAGCCACTCACCGACCTTTTCAAACAAGACGTCCCATTTTCTTGGGGCCCTCCTCAAGCTGACGCCTTCTCTCAGCTAATCACCGCTCTAACGACACCTCCTATTCTTGCACATTTCGACCCCGATGCTCCCACAGAAGTGCGAACAGACGCGAGTGGTCACGGAATTGGTGCAGTTTTGGCGCAAACTCAGCGGGGCAACGACCGTGTAATCGCGTACGCGAGCCGTCTGCTTTCCAAGTCTGAACGCAATTATTATATAACAGAACGGGAATGTCTCGCTCTTGTTTGGGCGGTTTCGAAATTCCGTCCTTACTTGTATGGCCGCCGTTTCCGTGTCATCACAGATCACCACGCGCTGTGTTGGCTTTCTTCTCTAAAGGACCCCACTGGACGACTTGGTCGTTGGGCATTACGCCTACAGGAGTATTCCTACTCGGTTGCTTATAAGTCTGGACGTCTCCATCTGGACACCGATTGCTTATCCCGCTACCCTGTTGATCAGCCCGACGAACCAGACATCGAGCCTAGCCTTAGCGTCATGTCAATGTCCCAGTTTCTTCAGATTGGTGATGAACAACGTCGTGATGCTTCTCTGCGACAACTTATTGACCGTCTCGAATCTGCTCCGAACGACACGTCACTTCGCATGTACGTCCTCCTGAATGGCACGCTGTACAGTCGTAGCCTCCAGCCAGATGGCCCCGAGCTCCTTCTTGTCGTGCCGAAAAATTTGCGTTCAACCGTGCTGCACGAGCTTCACGATGAACCAACTGCTGGTCATCTGGGTGTATCTCGGACGTACGACCGCGTGCGTCGCCGCTTCTTTTGGCGCGGTCTCGCCCGGTCCGTTCGCCGTTACGTGTCCTCCTGCGATAAATGCCAACGTAGGAAGCGACCTACTGTGCCCCCGGCTGGACTTCTTCAACCGATCTCCATCCCAACCGAACCTTTCTTCCGTGTTGGTATAGATCTTCTCGGTCCTTTTCCCCGAGTCGAAATCGGGCAACAAGTGGGTCGCTGTTGCTATAGACTACGCGACTAGGTATGCCATCACTCGAGCGCTCCCCACCAGCACCGCTACTGACGTTGCGGACTTTTTGCTCCACGACGTCATCCTACAGCATGGCGCTCCTCGCCAATTACTCACAGATCGTGGCCGCGCATTTTTGTCCCGTGTGATCGACGATCTTCTGTGCTCTTCCTCGACGCACCACAAGCTGACCACTTCCTACCATCCCCAAACAAATGGCCTTACCGAACGGCTAAATCGGACCCTAGCGGACATGCTCGCGATGTATGTGTCCTCCGACCACCATGACTGGGACCTGGCGCTACCTCACGTGACCTTCGCGCACAATTCTTCGCGCCACGACACCACTGGTTATTCACCCTTTTATTTGCTTTATGGCCGTGATCCGACGTTACCACTCGACACCTTACTTCCAACCACTACAACGCCGTCAACCGAATATGCACGCGACGCTATTGCTCGTGCCGACCACGCACGTCAGATCGCCCGCTCTAGACTTTCGGCTTCGCAAGCCACCCAGAAAGCCATCTACGACAGCCGGCATGCTGACGTTCACTTCTCACCCGGTTCTCTTGTTCTCCTGTGGTGCCCAGTTCGTCGAGTTGGCTTATCAGAGAAGTTATTGTCTCGCTACGTGGGTCCTTACCGTATCATCCGCCAGGTAACCGACGTCACCTGAGACCACAAGCCTGCCTGCAACCACACCCAGTGATGTGCACGTCAGCAGGCTAAAACCTTACCACCTGCCTACTGAAGACCGTAGTTAATGTGCACCGAGACGGCGCTTTTACCACCGGGGGGTAGTGCTACGTAGCTGACGTATCAGCGGTGAAAAGACGACAACGAGGAAGTGGTCTGTCGGTTGTGCGTGCTGCTTCCATCTTAGTCGACGCCATACGCATCATTTTGAATATAGATTTTAAATAGACACACCTCGTGTCATTTTTACGTAACAATATTTTCCCACACAGCAACAACAGCCTTTTCAGCTATTATTCAATGTAGTACAAAAGACACAGAAAAGGAGAACATAAACACAGTGCTATCAACTGAATTTATTTGAAGAACATACACACATAGTATATGTAATAAACTAGACACTTGACTGGAATATAAATAGTTAGCACTGTGTTAGTCCTCTCCTTTTTTGCGTCTTTTGCGCTATGTTTATTAATAGAATATTACCAACTCGCCCAGCAAGACACCCTTGATTCCGACTTTCCAGCTATGTAGCCATCCCAACTAATCCTTGAAAGATACTGCTGCTACCCACCAGCCACGAATCTAGGCATATTGCAAATTTTGTTACATTCTAAGGTACAAAAAGTACTAAAGTGAGTCATTGCCAGTGTGCTGAGCAACAGTGACCAGTCATGACAGGCATAAGACTGGTAATAGTTTTCAAAAATTTAGAAATTGTTTTATACTCTTTAAAGTATTTGTTGTTTGTGCTCTTGAGGCTGTCAGCTGGTCATGTAAAACAGATTAACACTTGTTTATGTTATGTAAAACTTGTGACAAAAGACTCGCAATACTTGTTGATGTCATCACCTGGGCTAATTCTGTCATCTGTTAAGGTTTTCTTATTCACGCACGAGTTGCATGTAATCCCTTATTCATGCTTATTTTTTTACACTCCTATGGCCCTTGTAATGCTGCGCATTTTTTTTTATTTTGGTGTAATTTTAAGTTTAGATGTGACAGGCCCCTTGTCAGGCTTTATTGCCTTTTTGGCAGTTCCCCAGGTAACTCGGACACTGTTTTTGCCTGAAATAAACTTCAATTAGATAAAAAATCATAACCTGCTCACCTCACGCACATGTATGCCTACACAAAACAAATGTGGAGTAGGACTCACGTGGGGCAACAAGTGCAGAAGGGCATCGCCCGTTAGGCTCCCGACAGCAAGCCCCACCAGGAACTGGATGAGCGTTTGGTAGAAGACTTTCTGCATAAGTGGCACTATGGCCACACTCAGCAGGCCTGTCAGACTGATGCCGAGCACGCCCAGGAAGGCGTACATCCACACTAGTGGGCGGGAGAGAAGCACAGGGCCCTTGAGACAGGAGGGCACTCAAAATACACTTACCTCAGTTTAAGTACATACAGTAATTGTAAGTAGGTATTTGAACTAATGCAGGTTAGTTTCCATTATAGCGAATCTGTAATAGAAACTAACCTGTGCCGCCACTGCCATCGCAGTAGTAGTAGAAGTCACGCAGGTCCCGCGACCAGGGGACAGTGGATATAATATTGTAAGCGTGTGAATGTTCAAAATTTCGAATGTTTTTTTAAATAGCGTTTGCTATTCTATTCGCATTCGAATTTTGCTATTCAAACTTTCCGAAGACAAGTGCTATCAACATCCGATCGACAATGATCCCTACACAATTTCAACATGCTTCGCCCCACGACATTCCAGTATTGCAGCAAAGCAGCCTTTCAGACTCTGCTAGAATCTTAATGTATTGACTCTAGAAAATCATGTAGTACATAAATACATCGCGGCCACTGCATTGCCTCATTCTTGATAAAAAAAAACTATGAAAGACCAAAAGCCAGCACTTCATCAGCCCAGCAAAAAGGAACACTTTCATAATGCTATCCCACAGTACGTAATATACTTGGGAATCCACACCAACTTCTTTTCTGCAATTTCACCATGAAGCATGATTCACATTCACACTTCATTATTCGGATTTGCCTCACGCCCGAAATTTAGCTATTTGCACAGTTCTAGATATGAAGCGAAATATTAATGACAATGCTCAAAGTGGTGAAGGTGATCACGACAACTTTTGGTATGAAACGCCGAGAAATCAATCTGAACATTCATTCACTACATTAAGTAGACTTAAATGAAGAATTGTAATAAACCTAGGCAAGGCACCAGGGAGTTCGAAAGGGTCCCGTAGATAACAGGGAGTGCACACTTGAAACGATTTTGGTTGCATCTGTCACGAGAGGCGTTTGCCGACACTCCATTGTCTGAAGCCAGGAGGTCATGTTATCTCATTGTCACAAACGACTCCAATTTTCGGATCATCCGCAGGCCCCATCTTCCAAGGAAGGGCGCTTTTGTGTTGGGAGAACGGCATCCGGCGACTATAACGGCACAGCGTGGCGCCGGCTCGTCTTCCCTGCACCTGTACTGAAAGGGGCACTGGCGGTCTAAAAAAGGAAAATTACCCCCAGATGGGACGGGAGCACGTGTATGCCCCTGAAGAGGTTTGAACTGCATCAGAATAGGCAGTTGACATACAGCCAGCAAGAAGTGCGGTCGTCGGTGTCGCGGGTCTCGCGTAGGCGGCGAGCATGGAGTGACCCGTGCAACTTATTGAGACGGCTGCAATTCCGGCCCCCCTCGTCGTCTACCAAGTCCGCGAGATCTTCAGCGACACCCCGTCAACTCCCCTACGTGCACCAAGAGCTGGCCTGGTCCGTATGGAACTTTTTATTGTGACCTTTTTTTTTAAACTGTTAATTGATCATAACCAGCCCCTTTTTTTTAAATATGTGTAGTTGTGTGCGCTGCGTCGCACGTTGAAATTCAAAAGTGCCACCATGATCATTCTGTAATTATTTCCTTGTATCTCCTTTGATTAATGTCGTTAGTTTAACATTCCGCGTATTTGTCTTTAGTCTGTATCTTTTGTAGTGTTTTTTTAGCATATTTTATTATATAGCTGTTCTTTCCATCGCGCGTCTCAGTTTTCCTCCTCTGCTATTTTTGTTAACTCCTGCCTTTGCCCTTGTTTTAATTAAATGCTCGTTTGTGTGTAATCAAATCTCCGTGTCTGCTCTATGAGTGCGTCGATCAGGCTCAGTCATCACCACACGTGCAACCCCGCACGGGTCGACCGACCCGCAAATAAATTTGAAATGTGCCACTTCGAGGCCTTTCAGGCGTCGCAGGCCGAAGCGTAAAGTGGAAGCCTGCGAGTCTGCCGCACGTCGATGTTGGATCGGCGGGGCCTCACCCGAAGTGTGTGACACTCATCCTGCAGCTTAGAAGACAATATTTCAAATCTAGCGCCACATTAGCAACACCACGTGATCTTACTAGCTGGTCACATACACTGGCGCGCTTACAGTTTTGCTGGCCAACAGTTTTCATGGTGTGGAAAAAATTTTTGTTATGTGTGCTATACACTCTAAGAATTGCAATATTATTAATTCATACCACTGGAACCAACCTTAGAATATCAACACTGTTTTAGTTTCATTAATGTGTCAAAGGCGTAAAAGCCTGAAAGAAGCTGAAACACGAATATATTTTCAATAATGGGAAAACTCGTTAATTATGAAAAAAATGCCACTAAAATTCCAAAGGGTGTTCAAACAATCGCCCCATTGTTTTGTACGATGAAAATATGCAAACTATGAATTAAAGAGCATGGCTACTTTTTAGCATTGTTTCAAAGTAGTTTCCATTCAGTTGAAGGCAAATTTGCAAGTGCATGATTAACCTTACCTTAGCCCCCCTTGATATAGGGAACCCTGTGGACACCTATGCACAAACACTATTAGTGAATGACAAACATGCATTGGGGAACCTGATGATCACTAAATACTATATTTGCCAAAATAAGCAAAAAAAAAAATGCAACAAGCGACTCGGCAAAAAAGAAAAGCCAAAGTCCGCTCATTATAAGTGGAACTGCAACTCTGCGATTTCGCAGCAATCATTAGGAAAACTTCTCGTTTTGTTCAGAAGCAGAATGCTTCTCAGCCCAGCAGGGCTTACCTTTGAAGTCCACCGTTGTCTCTTCTTCACCGTCACTATGATGGTGGATGTGCCGGTTTAACTGTGGCTCGGAACAATGTTTCTCATCCAGCTGATAGACGAGCGCCGGACATAGCTGCTGGAAGTCCTTCAGGTTTATGACACTCGCCTCAGGACTTGTGTCTACAGTGTGCAGAATTTCTGTCGCTGTGAGGCACTGCAACGGAAAATCATTGGAATAAAAAGTCAAGAGTTAATGTTGAGGCTCTGTGCATGCCCCAAAAGAGTAAGTATACTCGAGGGCAACTTTTCTTGGCAGTGCTGTGCACGCTACAGGACTGGCACACGTGCGTGCTAGTACCAAACATAAATATAGAAGCCAATTTTATTGATACTGTTTTCGTTTCCCAGGCTTAATTGACAGTACTGCTTTAATTATCACGAGATTAATAAAACAGCTACAGGAAGTCGTAGATGAAGTTATTGTTTACTGTATAAAATACATACCTTCATTTGCATTTTTTTGACACCGCCACATTTTCTGCGTGCCTGTCCTACTTAGTAAACATGGCATCCCTAGTGTTTTGGTTCGCGTTTGTAAACATCTATAAAACTAGCTGTTTAGGTATTTTAAGAAAAAGTTATTTGAAATGATATGCTGAAATATACATTGAACAATCGAAATGTCTTTGTCCCATTCAAATTTGTCCTGTATATGCTTTTTTTAACAGACAAACACTGCAAGCAGGCAAAACCAAAACTGTAATTGAAATCCGCTGCGAGCTACTCTGCAACTAGCAGAATAAGGTGAATGTGCAAAAAGCCCCACCTCCGTAACCTCCACTCCATTTCAAAGATGAGTTCAAAATTGAATTTTGTTACATATCCATATAAATTATGAAAAGATCACATTATCGGCATTGAAATATTATTATGTACATTGTGAATTCGGTGTGTACATAACCAAGTTAGTAGCATGCAGAACAAGCTTTACAACATTCCCCCCGTGTACCCTTTATGAATTTGTGGCATTGTAATTGTGGGGATATATTGCCACACATGCACCAAGTGCGAATGCACCTCTGCCCAGATGTGCTTTGAGATTACTCAGCGTTGAGCTGTTGCCAAACCCAGACACATTTTTCAGATGAAACATGCCTATTGAGATACAATTTTTTTTTTTCAAAAGAGGCAAAGCAAACAGTGGGCCAACCTTTTCAAATGAGACTTCTGCTGTCCTTGTGGTGGCTGAAACCTTTGGCACACTGGGAGCTTCTGTTCTATTAGAGGAGTCAACTGCCTCTGTGTGATCTAGAAAAAAAAAATCAAAATCAAGTTGTCCCCTTTCTTGATGGAAAGTCTTCAAAAAAACCTTTTGAAATATTTGTGGGATAAATGCATTCTGACAAACCTGACAATGCATCTATACACTAGTTTTAAGGATGACATCAAAACATTTTCGTCCAACAGGGCAACATTATATGGAAGTTTTTTCCCTCAATATACATAGCTGGCCCACAAAGAACCAGGTCTTTGTAATCACTAGTGTCAGTGACTAGATTCTACATTTGATAAGACATTCACAAGTTCAAGAGTGAAAAAAAAGTTTTGCTTAACAAGGCACCCTATTCCTTTGTATTCATTCACTTTGAACTGGCTAACACTCCTAGGATTATACAAACAAATGCGTAATAAAGTGGATGGGAAGATAACTGTTGCTGCAGCTCAATTGGTAGAGCGTTGGATGTGTTAGAAGGTTGTAGGCTCGGTCCCTACCTCTGGCTAATTCATCGTTCATTTTAATTCTTTTCCATTTAAGTCCAACTAACTGTAACCACCAACATACAAGTAATGTCTCCCATACATTCCTTAGCTTGATTGTTAGCTGGTTTATTAGGGTTTCTAGAGTAAGTGCACTGGACATTTGAGCTTCATTTCTGCTTCAAGGTAGATGGTGCGAATCTTGGTGAAACTTGTCATTTAAGGGGCGAAGCTCCTCTTAGTCTAACCTTGTCCTGCATCAGGCGCAACCGGCTATATCATACTAACAGATGAACAAACAGAGGGACGGACAGACAGACGCTTTGCCCCACTAATCAGCATTCACTCCACAAATATGCAGCGAGTTTTTGTTTGTGCAGCGTTATTCTGCACTTTTTACCTTGTCATATTACTCCTAGGATGACCACCAACAAACAACGCTGAATAAAGCATTATAAAGGATGCCGTCCTGCACTACACACAAGCGTGTTATGCTTACCCTGACTAGAGAGGTCCCTCTGCACCCTCGCATGACGATCTCCCTCAGATGCATGCATGTGATCCGAACTGTCCCTACCATGTCCGTGGTCGTGGTGGTCATGGTGATCGTCCACAACAGCGGTAGCACCCACCCCGTCAACATGCACGTGGTGAGCATGATGATTCACAAATCCGACGTTTGCACCTTGAGGACGGTGCGCTGACAGGTCGTGATCTCGGATGGTGATGTGTGCCAGGCCGAGGTTTTCAAGAAGATGCTCAAAGCCCTCGAAGGTCATCTTGCCGTCGTGCCCGTACTTGTCAAACAGCTTGCGGAGGAAGTACTCGTGATCTCTGAACCGCTCAGGTGTCTCTTTCGCCTCCAGCGATGGTACCGCACTCAGTACGCACAGGAATATATGACACCAGAAACACATGGCTCGGTAGCACTGTCCCACACACAGGCAATGGAGAAGAGAAAACAAAATAAAGTTGGCACATAAGCAATACGTTATCAAGGAAGGAGCTACACAATACAGATGTGCACAAGAAGAGCATAATGATGGGTGCATACTATCTACTGGGTTTCATTTAGAAGAACATCCATACGTATACTATGAAGTTGGCAAAATTCATCTTCTATTCACAAACTTGAAACCTGCTTTCATTCTGATGCAATTCGGACACGTTATCATGGACGATTATTTCATTGTTCGTTATGAAAGAAGCCTCGGCACGCTCCCATGCCAAATGGTTAAGATTGCGTCTCAATTTTTTTTTTTCTTGCCAGCAAAGGCCAGCACGGATACCCCCAAATACTTAACAGACATGCACTGCACTGCTGGGGCAAGCTAGACCTTTGTCAAATCTTCATTAAAAGCACGTTTTTGCCTCAGTTCACACACACACACATGCACACACACACATATATATAGGCTCATCGTACTGGTGTAAAATGTTCCACAAGTCTGAGGAATACCATTCTTGGCACACACCCAAGAAACCAAATGGTGTGGCACTTTTAAGCAGTGTTGAAGAACTCTCTGGTGTTCGTTCTCATTTAGGACAGGAATCACTGAATGTAATACGTAGTGTGTATGAACCGAGAAAAAAGCTTGACCTGCATCTATCATCTGCTCATATTGGTTAAGTACAGCGCAATAGCAGGCGCAGCAGTTGCCAAATACATCAATATATAGAAAGCTCGACTGACTGTACCGACACGGCCATGACATTGGTCACCGACTTTTCCAGCTACGAAATTCTTTAGTGTGCCTACATTTCATAATAGAGTATTGGCCTTTTTTGGCATTCATGTTCATGTTTAATATGCACGTTAAAATATACAGACAAAAAAAGTTTACTAGAAAAAATGAAAAATTAAGGGTCAATAGGCAGTCTTTGCCTGCTTTTTTACCATCTAGATACAGGTCATGCTAGCATGTGCTTGGCTGGGAAACTTTTTCATGTGGAATGCAAATGCATGATATCAAGTCTTGACATTTCTCTGTCACCGAACAAATATACCTCACAAATAATAAGGCACTGTTTTCCTTTCCCTTCAATAGCCTTGCACTAGAATGCTCCCTTTTTAGTCCTCTGCTCTGTAACGAAAAGGGAGCTGTGAAATGTAAATTTGTGGAAGAGAGAGCAACTGGAAAGCTTTCAGAAGCAGATACTAGTACGAAACAGTGAATTAAAAACCTCGCTTATATACCCATCCACGTTTATTGCCTACTAGCACTGAAAGATTTCAAACAGTAATAAATCTTTTCACATAAGGGTTAAGGTTTGATAGCATGTGTTTAAATATCCAAAACTTGACAACAATCTAGCCTTACATTTTCCGTTATTTCAAGCGTGTAAATTACGCATAGGAAGCCCGTATGCTTCAAAGACATACTGATTGTAAGCAATAATGCTAGAGATTCTGGCTTACAAAACAATGTTGCAAACTTACATGAGTACTTCTGTGATGCCTTGACTTGAGAACCTTTATTAGCCTTTGTTTCTTTGCCTAAAACAAGAAAGTGTAAGCAAAATAAATGCATGTAGCATTAGACCTCTGCTGCAAAACGATGTGCTGCATCCTAACCGTTTTGCCGACACGATTGCAAACGTAGATGTACTAAAGCCCACTGTGGGTACTCTGATGTGTTTAGTGTTCTTCCAGTAGGCCCGCCCTTTATGCTGCTTTACGCAGTTATATCCCGAGCATTTTTTCATACAAGGTGCATGTGAAATTGTCAACCACAGACCAACGTATGTTTCCTCTATCAAGGCGATTCAATTCCGGGTTTACCGTTTGGCCCCTTCAGATAATGCTCAAGGTGCAAGACGTGCTTTGAAACTTAAAGGAGTAGGTCGGCACCTGAAGAGAATATGCCCAGGTGAACGTTACAAGAAGCAGAGATGGCACCACCTTGACAAAGAGAATGAAAGGCTTCTGTGATGGACAAAAAGGCTGTGCATCCATCCGGTGGAGTTTTTAAGCTTAGATATCATCGTAAGTTTCATCAGCAGCAAGGGGTCGATGCCTTGCGCTTATGTGTGGATGGTGTCTCATTCCGGTGTGAATTGGCATAGCAGATATTAAAAAGATGTCTGTGTTCCTGTATGCATGTAACAAGAATACATGTTTTCTACAACTGTTATTCATAAATTGCCTATTGTGTTATCACAGTATTCCATTATAACAGTGCCATCTTGGAATGTTAAAAACGACAAAGGTAGACATTGTTAGATTTTAGCGCAGAGGATGATTTCCTCATGCTCTGCTGACATACGCTCCTTCAACAGTGGTGGCATCTGTACACACATGCCTGCCTACAATGGCTAAAAAATAGTGAAAAGCAATATGAAGCAGTAAGGCAAAGAGGTAGACTTACCAGCCCACTGGCAGGTGCATGCCCCGGTCGTCTTTGTTGGCACAGTCCAGCCAGTAGACAGGCCTGCTGGCACTGATTGGCCACCAGTTGGTGAAGGTCCTCTAGGCTGAACACCCGCATCTTCACGACTCTGCACAAAAACCAACAGGACTTGATCACAACACAGGAGACTTGCTACAAATAGATCAAAGCTGGCCCCTGCGTGAGAGTTAGCAAAACCATATGGAAAAAAAGTGTTGCATCTCAATTCTCCATATTTTGGTTCGTTAGGGTCACAACAAAAAAATTTAAAAAATATAGCATTAGCAAATTACTCAAACAAAATGCCAAAAGCACCACTTGTACCATGGGTAGTTCCTTGATAAGCTGGAAAATCTGCAAAAGGAAAATGTAGGTGGCGTCGCACATCACGACCCTGAACCAACTCGCAGTGATGTCACCATGTCATAAATTTTGATAGTGTGTGCTTCAGCCAATGCCATTCTCAATCCGAAAGATGAAGTATATTGTCTTCTAAAAGGGCCTGGGATGCTAACCGGTCGCGGTCCATTGTTAGGCTGCTATATACAGCCATCAAAAATGCCAACACACTGGAAATCAGATGTCTAGAACAGCGGCTAATTATTTAGCCACAGTTCGCATGCCAGTTGTTTTGCTTGAAGTATGTATGTATGTATGTATGTATGTATGTATGTATGTATGTATGTTGCAGTATTGCAGTTGAAGAGCTCTATCACATATTTTGATGGTTTTTTTTTTTTTTTGAATTCCAGAGGAAATGCCCCATACAGCATGTACGTTATATAAAAAAAATATCGGTCATCTTGAAATGCCCCCTGAAAAGTAATGAAATGCCCTCAGCCCTGCAGTGAATACTAAAAATTAAAATACTGCATACCTATCAGTTAATTAACTTAAGCACGATATAAGAAGTACCCCGACAAGCAAAACACGACAGATGACTACATGTCAGTTTAATTCAGCAGCAGTAAACCAATTTCTTTTGCTTTAAATTCTCGTTCAAGTCTAGTGAAGAATCCTGCATATCAGAAAGGGAGATCACATACACACGCAGCGCATATTTAATACACACGCACGCGCGAGGCGTAATGACTCCGAATCCCCTTCCCCCCCTTTCCCATTTACGCTATAACAGCGGCCGGACGTGCAAAAATGGAATGAAGGAGAGAGCTACAAAAATAAGCGGTGGTGGGTCGGCGAGGGTAGGGGCGACGCACGGCGCTAGCCGAGCCGCATAAAGTGGGCGTACAGCTAATAAAGAAAAGAAGCGAAAGAACAAGAAGAAATGAAAAGCAACGGGAGCGAAAAGTTGGCAGTGGCTGTCAACTCGGGCCGGGACCGCGGGGATGCCGTGCGTTCGCAGTACATACGTAGGGTAGCCTGCAGACGTCCCGCACTTGGTGACCGTGTGCAGCAGCAGCCAAGAAGTTAGCGTGCGTCTGGGCGCGAACGCGGTACGAGCCGCGGTCTTGTCCACCTGTTCGTCCAATAGGGGGCGGCTCTCGCCGAAAAGGGCGGCGTTGCACGTGACGCGCCGTCCAAGACCTCCTCCGGACGCTCGGGGACGCGTACTGTTTCACGCACGCACGTCGTCGTCGGGAAAAGGAACGCGGGTCTTCTTTTTTGTCCGGCAAGAAGAGACGGACAGGAAGGAGGCGTCTTCTTCGCGCCAAGTCGACGCGACGTCACGACGGCACCGGCGGGCGCTTTGGAGGGCCAGGCGACACCGCGAACGCGCAGGGCGATTCGATCCCAGGATAGAAAAACGACGCTGGCGGCTTAGACGCCGGCGGCACACCGCTCGGCCTGGCCCGTCTGGAGCAGCGGAAGCCTGCCACGGCTGCGCTGGCCTACATATATGCGATGCGAATCGAACGCGCTTCGCGAGACCGCGCGTCACCCTTACACAGAGCGCTCGTAGACCAGCCGCTTTCGGTCGCTGAGGGAATATTCATTTCACGCGGGCTGGCTGCACATCTTTTGCGCGCGCTAAGGATGGATGGATGGATGGATGCATTGGCAGGGAGCAGCCTTGGAACGACGGGCCTTGCGCAAGAGCAGGTTGTCACATTTTTTTTTTCTTCGCTACGGAGAATTTCGATACATTGCGAAATCCGCAGAAGCCGCGAATACGAGCGTCCTCGGCTGCGCGCGCAACATAAATTTCCGTTCGCAGAAAGCACCAAGGGCGGCGCGCGTCTGCCGTGACCGTTCTTTCGTGTTTAAAAGACGAAAGGCGTGCCGCGATTCGCGTTCAAGTACGGGAAAGGAACATCAAACACCTCACCGTTAGATTATTATTTTTTTATTTTTTTTATTTACAGGTACCTTACAGGCCCTTGGTTAGAGCATTGAGTAAGCGGGGCTAACAAAGACATGTACAACAAGTAAAAGGGCGAAAGGCGCCAAAACGTAAGCTCGAGACACGAGTAACAAATAAACAAGAAATAAGCAAGTATAAATTGACATCATACATCGTTACCAAAAAACTAGAAAGATGCAGTTCATGGCAGGCAGCAGTTAGGAAGTGTACAATACGTGTAAGTTAAATTGGCACAGTTTGTGGTATAATACACTGGGAAAATCATGAAAGCGCTTGCAGGAAGTGTGAACAGTTCGTCCTAAGCAAACAAAACAAATAAAGCACAAAAAATATCTGCACACAGTTTGAATTATTCTTTCAACACCATTTGCCCGCTCATTTTTTTCGGATGTAGTAAGCTTTAGAACCACAAAGCGAAAATTGAATGCACAGTCGTGTTTAATCTGCGATAGTTGTTAATTATCTACCGATGTGGCGCACTGAATTACAGGAGGTATTTCCGCTTGAGCATTCAGTGTTATGAACGCTACAGCGCTTGTCTACAGCGTTTAGCCGCAACGGAGTTGAATATGTAACCTCTCGGTGTTCCCTCTCACATTCCTTACGACAGTATGCCTGTTGTATCATTCGGACAGTTGTGGTTCTACGAAAGTCCATAGATACAATATATATATATCAATATATATATATATATATATATATATATATATATATATATATATATATATATATATATATATATATATATATATATATATATATATATATATATATAGGGAAATGCTGAGCGCCGCAATTTTTTGCGGTACGTCGTCATTTTCTTCTCTGCGACCATGCACATCTGCCAACTGCGTTCTCTTCATCGGGCCGATTTCTCGAACATGCAGCTCCAAAGTTCCGAGTTTCGATCATTAAAGAAAAGACAAAGAAAGCAGTAAACACATAATAAAATATTAAGCGAAATAAGACAGAGAGAAGCAACAGGCGTAGGCCGTAACTACATTTCGATCGAAACGAGTCGCCGTCCCTTCCGCGAGTCGAAAGGATTAGAACTTAAAGGTCACGAACAAGAGGTCCGGCTATGCGAAGTTTGACGCAGCAAATCGCATACATTCTCGTCCTGCTGTATTCCACTGCAAGACGGAGGCCTCTACCGAAGATTGCGTTCATCCTAGAGCGGTTTCGTTTTATCCCTACGAAGTTATGAGTGGTTCTTAATAAAGAGAGAAAGGAAGAGAAAAGTGAGCCCCATTATTGTCTGCTTCAGTGAGCGACACCGCCACAGGGCTCACAAGGGATGGGGGTGAGGAGGGATATAAAAGTTAGGAGTAAAGGTATAGAAAAGAGGAAGAAGAAGCAACAACAAACTGAGGGGATAGGAGAGACAGGAAAGATGCAAGCACGGTCACTGGAGTCCGAGGACGGGGTACACTTGCGAGAGATGTTGTCGACGTCTGTAGATGGCGTAGAGCAGGTCCAGTAAGTCAGAGCTTCACTGTCGTCGAAAGCCGTCGGCGGCAGGAGGTGGCGTAGGGCGAGCCCAGTCGGCCAGAGCTACGGTGACGCCGAAGGTCGCAAGCGCGCGGGCGCACAACCGGTCGGCACGAAATCCAGCGAGCGAGTCTGAACCTACGAAGTTAATTTCGTCACTGCATACAACTCTCTGGCTTCCTCGATTGCGTTTCCGCTGCCTCGATAGCCATTCTGTTGCTCTCACTGCCCACAATTTATCTGTCCTACGCATTAATTTACGTGGCACACCCACGTCAATTTCTTTCGCTTGACGTCAGCTACAATACTGCAGCCTACGCTTGTAGGATCCCTGACCCTCTCTACCGTTATCCGACATATTAATGTTCTTTCTACTGTTTCACATCCCACTACACACCTCGTGGTACTTAAATTATTCTCGAGTTGCTTCACCTTTCAGTTCCATCTGTTAGAAGTGGCAGTGTGCAGGGATTGTACCCTTTTTGCTTTAATGGGAGCTTGTCTGTTTCTCTTCTGCTAACCTTTTTTTTTATTTCCCCCTTCCCCACCGTGCTCCCTACTAGGCTGCGTCATTTCCTTAACTAACTGCTACTAGTGAACTTACACACGACATTTTATATTCAGCACATTTGTCCCCACAGTTCGCGCACAGGTCGGCTCAAGCCCTTGCCTTCGCCCCGCCGCGGTGGTCTAGTGGCTAAGGTGCTCGGCAGCTGACCCACAGGTCGCGGGTTCGAATCCCGGCTGCGGCGGCTGCATTTCCGATGGAGGCGGAAATGTTGTAGGCCCGTGTGCTCAGATTTGGGTGCACGTTAAAGAACCCCAGGCGGTCGAAATTTCCGGAGCCCTCCACTACTGCTGTCTCTCATAATCAATATGGTGGTTTTGGGACGTTAAACCATACATATCAATCAAGCCCTTGCCTTCGGCATGGCTTACGATGGCTGCAAGTGTGACGCGAAACATCACTGATTTCGAACTTCGTGCGTTATTCTAAACTTGCAACCGAAATTCGAAAACGCTGCTTGACCAATTTTATAGAGAAATGAAACGACAATGGAACACGACGTACATTTAATAGAGAGATGAAACAATCGAACACGGCGCGCAATAAACGACTGGGAGAGGAGACAAACAACAAAGATTACCGCAGCCATGTTAAATAAAGCGAACGCGCAAACAAATGACGTAACCGAGGTCGTATATACTACACAACTGCTAGCGGCCGTGCTCCGTCCCGCAAAACGAGAGAAAAAACAAGCGAGAAACAAACACGGCGCGAAAAAGTGAGTTGCGGCTAAACATACACGGTCACGATTCGCGCGTGCAAAACAAAAACGGCGAGGTCACATTGGGTGCTGTATAATTAACAGCACAGGAAAAACGTGCACAAGCGCACGCACGCACGGCGGTAGGTACTACGACACGAGCGAAAAACGTGACGACCAAGTTGCCCCTGTAGGCGCGGCTTTTCTGGAAGGCAGCCTTGAACTGTGGCGCAGACGACACGAAAAAAGAAGGGCAAGGGTCACTATAGACATGACTGCACACGAGAGAGAGGGGTGTGTGAGTAGTCACCTGAAACGTGGGAGGCACAAAATCTGTCCCATACATCGAGCTAATAGGGAGCCCAAACGCTGCAACCCCCCCCCCCCCCCTTCAAAAAAAAAAAAAACACCTACGTACGCTTATGCTCTACAGGTACTTGGAAACGCGCTCAGTGAACTCGACTAAATCAAAACGGCACGTCATCTACTTTAGAAAAAGGTGCACAGTGACGCACTGCAGTATATCATACGAGCCGTGGTTGAAATTTATCTTCTGACGCATATGGCCAGCCTACAAGCCAACGCTCCGACGCATTTGTCGTTCGAGGCCGCGCGACTTAGGACACACAAAGGTGAAGCGCTCTAGACTACCGAGAATGCCGGCGCAAGAGAGCAAACCTTGAGAAGTTCAGCAGCGGGGAAGAATAAGTGAAACTCGTTTTCGTGAAGCCCGGCGCCCACCCAGCATGCCACCATCGGTCGGAGTGAAAGAAATGGCGCCAATGGCAAACAGGGTGGGGGGAGAGGGGGCATTCATTTTCATGTCGAGAGGCAACGCTACAGGAGGCTGCAAGGCCCTGGAACTTAGAAGTGTGGCAGCTTGGGCTAGTTGGTATGGCATGATGATAGTTATAGCGCGAGAGCAAAACGACGACACTTGTCTCTGTGTCGGTCGTCGTTTTCTTCTCGCGCTATAACTATCGTCATGCCCTGGAACAGTTGGTTGAAGCACAAAGTTTGACGACGGTGACTGCGGGGAACGCCTTCTGTAGTAATTAAACGCACCGCCTTTCGAGATTTTTAATGACGCCGTCATGACGTCATGATCACAATGATAACTACGATATATAACCCTGTATACTACTTTCCGATCGTGCACATGCTAAGTCAACAAATATGAACTTCAGCAAAACATTTCGTTACTTTTAACACAGCACGAGGCTAGTGCATGGTAAGAAATAGCGAAACCTGTTTATCGTCTTAATATGTACTACATGACACTATGTCGTCAAGAGCAGCAAGCTTTACAGGATGAACTCGGGCCTTCTTCAATGGTATAAACTTTAAAAAGTCACGTCTATGGCACAGCATGGTAACTGCAGCCCTAAGGCTGCTCCTGCCCCGGAATACTGTATACCCGGAATACTATATAATGTCCTGCAAACACGGCAACAAAGAGCATTGCACAGCGATGGGCACTCGAGCGGAA